GCGGCTGCGCCGGAAATGGCCACATTGTTTAATTCCACACAAAAAGACTTTTTTGTTGTTGCTGTCATGTTTACGCTCTGCTGCCTCATTCAGTTGAATTCTTTTTTTTTTTTTTTCTAAATAAAAATATGGTGAGGTTTGCGCATGCGGCGTTCTCTGCGAACAGTGCGTCAAAAATCCTCTCCGCAAGCTCCGGCACCGGCACGCCCAAAAATAAAATCAATTTTTTATTCAAAAAATAAAATAAAATGGAAACGGGGCACTCCATTGGCTTAGGCGGCGGTGGCCGACGCGGTGGCACCCCTGCCATGGAGGGGCGGCGGTAATACGCAGCGATGCGTGCCTGGCTGAGCCGGGCCTGACGTGGGAGCAAAGTGGCCCGCGACCTGCTCGCCGGGGCGGGGCGGGGCGGGGCGGGGCGGCCCCGGAAATCAAGAATGCTGATCAGAGGAGCGTGATTAGGAATACCGGCACGGCGGCGGCGTACCAAAGAGCGCGTTATTGGAGGGGAAGAAGTGCGTGCGGGCCTCCAGCCTCCAGCTTCCAGCATCCAGCTTCCAGCCTCCAGACGTATTATATTTCCCGGGCGAAGTAGGAACTGCAAATGAAGCAAGAATTAATATGGGACGCGCCACGAACAAACAGGGGCATTGTATGGGCCGCCGAACAGACAGACATGCAGACGGAAGACAGACAGACAAGATAGACAGACGGACAGAAAATAGAGACTAAAGTTAATTCGTTTGCGGGCCCGTCTCGGCACTGACGACAGACAGACAGACAGACAGACAGACAGACAGACAGACAGACAGACAGACAGACAGACAGACAGACAGACAGACAGGCAGCAGGCAGGCAGACAGACAGACGGACGGAGAAATTAATCCCCCTGATGAAACACGAGACGGCGGAGTGAAGCCGTCGCCCCGTTCTAAAGTGCGTCAGATGATCCCCTAAGTCACTGGCTGGCAATTATCCAGGAAAGAAAGCCATCAGACGATCCCAGTGTGCCGTGCCTGGCCGCGCCTGCCATGCCTAGCCGCTGGCCATGGCCGCCCTGGCCGGTCAAACGCGGCTAATCTCGTCACTGCAGCGCTTCGCCTGCTTGGCCTGCTTCTCTTCGGCTCGGCCCGAGGCGCTGCGTCGGCCCGCTCCCCTCCGTCTGCAGCCCCATTCCGAGCAGCCCCGATGTTGTCTCTCTCACGCTCGTGGGACTTCCCTTGCTGCCCGAGAGAGACGGAGCGTCCGTTCGGACCCAGCCGGCTGTTAGGCGGGCCTTGCGACCGGACGGGCCTCCTGCGTGCGGACCCGCTGGACAGGATTAGTTGGGTGGTAATAAGGGCTCCGGGGCGGTCAGGCGTGATGAACCGGGCCCGCTTCTTCTGCACCGCCACGGGGCGACTTCGCGATCCAACAAACGCTGGAAAAAACACGACGCGCTTGAGTTGTGGGGATGGCGACTGCTGCAGGTCTCGGCCGCCGGGGCCTCCAGCATTGACTGTCTTCTCTTCGCAGCACGGCGGCAACGTAAAGCAAAATGGGGTGATTTTGAGACTGCGACGCCTCGCACAAAATTGGGACGAAATAATGGAGTGCGTGCGTCGCTCTTCTCCTCGTCGCCGCCGCCCTCCGGCCCCAGCCGCGGTTGCCCAAACACGGTCCGGCCGGATTCCGCGCGGTTCATTCGTACTGCGGGTCGTGCCGGGCTTGGCCGGGCTTGGCCAGGCGGTGCCAGTGTAGCGGACGCCCCGCGCAAATGGCGCGTTCTACATGCAGAGCCCGCGCGCCCGAACCAGATTAGTTAAAGCGAGTCGCCCCGCCCCGCCCGGCAGCGCCCCCGCGCAAGCCGCACGGACTCCGCAGGAATAAAGCACTCATTTTTACCTCCACGTCGCGCACCCGGGCCGGGCCAGGCCGGGTGCTATGGTGGGGAGGGTTAATTTTAATGAAGATTTCTCGCGTTTGGCAAACAAGGTGCGCTGCTTTTGTGTGGGCGACAGCGTAAACTCTGTGCGTGGACGCTGTGACTGCGTATCCCACCACACCTGTCGCAGGGCTGGCCCACCGTACGCCACTGAACAACGTGAGTTAGTCTCACCAACGATTATCGTGACAAAAGTAAAAAGCTTTGGGGGGTCGAGCAACCTCCTCGCGCTGTGCGTGTGTGCAATGGGTTGCATTTATACTGCCTGCTTAGTCCTTCCGACTTCTACCCCCTTTTTTTCGAGAGGATGGAAGGTGTGCATGCATGGTGAGTGTGTTGTGTGTGTGTGTGTGTGTGTTGGGCCACTTAAAGCACCCCGGGCCGCTTCTGGACCGTCTGACTGAACGAGTCTCGCTTCCTGGAACGCGACACAAGTTGGCAGGCCAGGTAACAGGAGGGCAAAGGGTGGGGGTTGCTGCCTGGCGCAGCAGCGTGGCTTTGGCCGCCCCCCTCCCACCTGTTGTCAGACAAGTTGGCGTGGGCGCGCGGCGTAGCGCGGCGTCGCCCGGGGCGACGGCAGCATCTCGCGTCGCGTAGCGCGGCGCGTCTCGCAAGCAGTGTCGAGCACCACCCAGCACACCGTGCAGCACACCGTGCAGTACACGCAGCACCTGCAAGACAACAGAGAGGCCCCATGCAGCCACCTGCCTATCGTGAGCTTCCCGCGCTCTCCGGGCACACCATGACGAGGAAGAGCGAGGTGGCTGTCGGGCTCCCTGGCACCCTCTCCTCCAACGTATCCATCATCCGGGGCTCGTTGGCCTCCCGCACGACGCAGCCAACCCGACCGCGCCGCGCCACTGCTGCCGCGCCGCCGGTGCAGATACGAAGATTTCTTACCTGCAAGTTTTAACGACCGAAAACTTGCTGGCGCCGCCGCGCTCGGCGCGCACTTCCCTTCGCTCGGCACTTCCGGTCCGGCGGCGTCGCGTTTCCGGTCGTGGAGCGCGGCGCGGGGGCGGCGCGGGGGCGGAGCGGCCCAGGGGGCGGCGCAGGGGGCGGCACCGCCAACGACCCGCCGCCGCCACCCGCCTCGCCCTCGCGACCGCCGTTTACTCCCTGTATCGGTCTGCGGGGTGCGGGTCGGTGCGGGTCGGTGCGGGTACACTCTTCTTGGCACTGGCATCGTTGTTCCGTTGGTCGAGTGCCGCGTCGCCGCGTCCAAACCGACGCCCCAAGTTTCCTGGAACTGGTCCTACCCGACGCGCCAGGGCCGCGGCGTCCCGAAAACTCCCAGGGGCCGTTGCTGCAGCGTCCAATCGATTCACCGGACCGCGTGTCCGGAGTAAACAGCCCTGCTGCATGGCGTCGGTGACGCGGCTGTCGTGCCGTTGGCAGCACTGCTGCCGCGACGACGCGCCGTGTCCGCCGAGGTTGCCAGCCCTGCCTGGCGGCCTGGCGGCCCAGCCGCCCCGCTGGCAGATACTCGGGCCGCCGCTGCCATCTGCGCCTCGCTGTAACGCTGTAACGCGCGGCTGTAGCGCGGTGCCCGTCGCAGGCACTCTGCACACTCAGGGCCGGCAACATAACAGACCGTAAATTGCGTGCCAGCTGCGCCCAACGTCGTACCAACCATACACACCCCCCGGCGGAGCGGCCGGAGCGGCCCCCGGCCCGCGCGTATTGCCACGTCGCCAAATCATTGCCTGCATACCTTGCAGAGCGCTAGCGCTAGCCAGCCGCCCCCACAGCCGCCCCCACAGCCGGTCCACTGCTACCCTGCCGCGTGCCTTTCTCCTTCCCCGCGTCCCCGAAACTTCAATTCTGCGGCGGAAAGTGAACCCAAGTGCAGCCATTCTCGGTGAAGAAGTAAACTCCACGTGTTGCACGTGTGTCTGCAATCCACGCTCCGCCGCGCCGCCGACCGCGATGTGTTCATGTCCGCTCTGGCCGCGCCCTCCCCGTCCCCCCCGCGTGCCGCCACTATACGTCATGGCCGCGCCGACGTGGCGACGTGGCGACGCAGAGCCCCAGTGTGCCCCGCTGTGGCGTCGGGGGCAGCGGGGCTGCTTTAAGTCATTGGGCCCGAGGCAGCAGGCCGGAATCCGCTCTGTCTCTCTCGCACCCCCGCGCGCCTCCCCTCGAGTGCGAGCGAGGCAGACCGATGTCCCGAGGGCCCCCGAGGGGCTCCGAATAGAATTGTCACGCGCTGCCACGGCGGCGGTTCATTCATCAAGGCCGCTAGCCTGGAGCCTGGAGTCTGTCTTGCTGTTATTAATGCTCGCGTGATACAGCGTCGCCGAAAACAAGACGCGGGACGAAGATGTATCAAGGAAGGGCTGCCGAGGCGGGGATGACAACTTAACCAAAATCCAATTTCAAGTTTCTGTGTCCCGTATGGTGAGCGTCACTGAAGTTTGTGACTGCTAGGAAATCGAATTTTGAAATTGGGTCACCGCATGCAATGCTAACTTTGGTAGCGGTTACCGTTTCAGAAAACATCGATTTCGATCAAAATCTCGAGTAGTGGTAGTTTTTTGGTCGTCGATGTAGTTGATTTATCGATGTATCGATGTTCTCTGGTATTCTGGTCGTAGTCCTGGAAAAATGTGTTCTCAACATCTCCGTTCCTCAATAGAATTTAATCAAGCGCCACTCTTGCCTCCGGCCCTAACCTTCCCCACCTCACATATTTTTTTCGTGGAGTCGTGTTGGCACTCCCAGTGGGCCGAAGCATGGCGGCGTGGCCAAGGCGTGGCTGGGGGTAGGACAAGACGCTGTCCGTGGCGGCGACACGGCTTCTTGCCGCGGGGTTCTGCCGCTGGCGTCGGACGCCCCCAGCGGGGCGCGCGTGGCCGCGGCGGTTTCATTTGCATGGTACAAGGACAGGGGGGACTCCGCCTTGTTCGCTGGCGCGCGAGTGTGCGAGCCGAATGGGTCCGACGGCTTCCCTTCGCCGAAGCGCACGCGGAAAAATGGCAGGCCTCGGAGCGGAAGAGAGGCATCTGCGTTCACAGTGAACCCCTGGAAATGGCCTGGCTTTGGTGATGACACACTGGGTGCTTCGTTGTTGCAGGCCGGTCGCACGATGCGAGCTACAGCCTGTTCCGCCTGGGGCAGCCCGCCAGCGCCGGCGTGCGCGCCATGGCCGAGTCCGGCCACGCCGAGGTCCTGGAGGACGAGAACCAGGGCGTCGCCGGCGTCTTCGACGAGTTCAACGCGCCGCCGGTGCACTCCGGCGCCGGCTGGACGCAGGCCGAGTTCTTCGTCGACGGCAACCACTCACGGGTAAGGCTCAAGTTGCGGAGAAAGTCTCTTCGTTGTCGCGCGGCGCTCACTCGAGTGGAGCTCAGGTTTTGAGAGAAATGGGGGTGTCGAGTCGGCCTGATGCAGTGCCCCCGGCCCGGCTGGGCCTGACCGCTGGCTGGGCTGGCTCGCAGTCTCTGCGACCGTGTCGGCCAAAATCTAAGGTCCGTCCGTGCCGGTCCGTGCCGCCAAAACTTGGAGTTCCGTCCGCTGAGCCGCCTCGCCCTCGCCTCAGTCTCGCGAGGCGACGAAAGCCGAGTCCGCCAAGAAAAAAGAGGGGAAAAGAGTTTTTTGTGCCTTTTTTATCAGCATCTTTGTCCGAGACGGATGGCTGGGAAATCGCTTCAAAAATAATGAAAGAAGAAAGGAAGGCAAAAGGAGGGATTACTACACCCCGAAGGCCCGAAGGCCCGAAGGCCGGGGGAAGCGCGCTTCCAATACAGGACGCTGGTCGTTTTATGAGGCTCATATTTGGCAGCGAGCTTGGAGACACATTGAGAGGCCGCGCGGCTGGGCCCCGGTCGTAATCATTGAGATGGAGGTCTGGTCCATGAATCCGTCTCAAACGGGCGCTGCCAAAAATATGTGTGTGCCATTTTCTTTATGAGAAAAAAATAACAAAAAAAATGCCAAAAAAGGGTGTGAAGTTTTTGAGTGAATTAGATTAATGGGACTGTAGATGATTCACGTAAAATTAGTGCGTTTCGTTTTTTGATATTTTGATGTGCCTTTCACGCAGTCAGTGTGGTCCACGCTCCTCGAGATTTGCAAGTTGTCATCCTCGGGTTTTTCTTTCCTTATTGCGCGAAGGGGGATCTTGGCCGGGGAAGGGGAACAACTTTTTAATGTAAGTGAGGCTGAGGTGGTCCCGTCCTTATTAGTTGAGTGGCACTTGGTCTAATTCGAGGAGGGGAGGACGCCGGGGCGGCCAGGGCCGGATTGAGAGCTTTGTCATGCAGATTCCATTTTGTTTTGTCTCGGCAGCACTAGCGGCAGGGCCCCCGCGTTTCTCGGCATAAGTCGACGTTGTCTCATGCGGGCTTTAATTGGGGCACAAGGAGTTTCGGACCATTTTTTCCTCGTTTTTTTGCGAAAAAGTAATAAAGGAAGCCGTAGGGGGTATAAGGGGGTGAGCAAAGAGAAGGCGTTCATAAAGCAAAGGCACTTGCATACATAATTTATGAGAGCGACGGAGGGAGAGAGATGGAGAGAAAAGAAAAAAGAGGGGGGGGGGAGGGCGGTTATATCGAAAATTACGATACTCTAGGCGAGCGGGCTGACAGAGTCAGGCGCATCAGCTGAGCCGCGCCGCCAGATAATCCCAGTTGCGATTTTAATTACGGCCTGATTAATTATTGGCAGTCAATAGCCCCATTATTTAAAGAAGCAAGAGAAAAGGAGGAAGAAGAGGAGGCTTGCCGCAGTGGCGGGGAAGACCCAACTTTGTTGCTGCCTAGTTTTTTTTTGTTTTTTTGAGATGCGGTTTTTTAGGCACCATTAGGCATGACGATGACGACCGCATCCTGGACGGCCAGGACGTTCTGGAGGGCGGAGGAAGGTCAGTGGGCTGATGGGGGATTGTGTGGAATGGAGGCGACAGTCTTCGAGTTAAACGCCTCTCACTGTTTGACGTCTCGCCAAAGCGCGCCAAGACCACCAAGGCCAAACGACCACCAAGGCCAGCAAGGCCAAACGACCACCAAGGCCACGCCCTATGGTGAAATCCGATTCCATCTCGATGACGGTATTGAAGGATATCCGTAAAAAGTTTCGGGTGCTGGGGGGCGAAGCGCGTCATTTGGTGGGGGAAGGGGGGACGATACCGGAAGTTGAGCGTAGGATTGATTGTGTGTGTGTACGCGCGCGCAGTCACTCTCTCCTCCGCATCTCGGGCTCCTTGTTTGTTTACTTGTGGGTCAAGACATTAACGATGAGGAGGTCCACAGCAACGCGAACTCTCTGTGAGTGAGTGCGGGCGTGTGTGTGTCGCCGCGAAACGGGATCTGGGGGATCAAATTGAGCAGAGGTCACTGGGATTGAGGAGGAGGGGCGGGGAGGAGAGGTGCGGCCGCCTGACTGCTTCAGTTTATCGCTCGCTCCAACTGATGAAAGATGGAGATCAGAGGCGGCGAGGCAGGCAGGCAGGCAGGCAGGGCGTGCCAACAAATCGCGTGAGGCGAGGCGGCCTTATCCGCCGTGATCTATCTCTTGTAATGCCTCTGAAATTGGCTTTATTTCTACGGAGGCTGGCGGAGCCTGGCGGAGCCTGGCCGCGGGGGCGCGGGTTCGACTCCCGGTCGCTCCGCGTGGCTTTGCGCCGCTTTGCGCCGTGTTCTCGCTCTGAATGATTGAGGCGTGTGCCGACAGGTGTCGCTCATGTCCCGCATCGTGCCCTCGCCGGACTGGTTCGTGGGCATTGACAGCTTCGACCTCTGCGTGGACGGCGGCTGGATCGACACCATCACCATCGAGGTGAGTGCCGCGCCGTGCTCGGCCGTGTTCGCCCAGTGTAACTGGTTTCTGCTGTTTTCTCGTTCTCCCCGTCCGACGGCGTCGTTCAATCTGAGGGCGTGCTTGTGCAGGTGGACCCGCTGGACGCGGGCACGGACAACGGCTTCACCTTCACGGCGCCCAACTGGCCCACCGAGCCGCAGGGCGTGGTGTACCGCATCACCAGCAGCCACCCGCAGCACCCCGCCGGCTCCTTCTACTACCCGTTCCTCAAGCGGCTGCCCGCCATCGCCACCTTCCAGTTCATCAAGGTGAGCAGCGTGAGAGCCGAGAGCGGCGCGACGAACGGACAGGCAGGCAGGCAGGCAGACAGACCGCGCGCTGTCGTGCCGCTTGTCGTCGCGTCGGCTAGGGGCGCCTGCGAAAGACAGGCTAGGCAACCCGCCCGCCTCGCGCGTCGCCGCGTTGCCTACGCGCCGGTTCGCAGGCGTCCCCGGTCCTGGAGATGTTTGTGCTTCCTCACACGCCAGCGAAATCTCCCTGGGTGCACCCTTGACGAAAGGGTTGCGAACCCAGCAACCTCTCGAGAGCATTGCAGGAAGAGTGGGAATTTTTGCCTACCAGTGTAGGGCCCTACGCGTCCGCGTGCTCTGCGCGTGACCGTCCACGCGGGTCGGGGTTCAAAAAGTAGTGCTTTGATGGGGGGGAGTTACTGTCGTGTCCACACAGGGGCGTCCGGAGCCCCCCCCCCTCTTTTTCCCTCCGAGTCCCCCGTGCCTCTGCGCGAGGATAGCCTACCCAACCATGAAATAACCATTCACATAAATCTCATTCCGGCGTACAAAGACTGGCTGCCGTCATCCCCGGCCGGCCCGGCGCACTCTCGGCCTGCTCGCAACCCCGTTCCCCGACATGAGCATCATGTAAATTGTTGGTTTAAAAATACTTTTCGGGAAAGCTGGAAAGCGCGTCGGGGGTCTCTCTCATCACCCCTCCCCCTCCCCCCACCCCAACCCGTCCGACCCACTTGGCCTCTTTTCCCGAACTCTTGGTCCTCGATCAGGAAGAGAAATGCAGATCGTCTCGAAGCGCGGAAGGGGGGAGGGGGGAGGGGGGGAGGATGGAGAGCCCTGCCAAGCCTTGCCTGGCCGGCAGCTGTCGAGGGAAACAATTTGAGTGTTGGTGCGTCGGCCGGATCGAGTCCGACTCAGGGTTAATGGCTCGAGGCCATGTGCCGTTCCGGCGTTCCGCCGTTCCGGAGTAACTGTCGCAGCCACACTGCGAAGGAAGTAAAGAGGCGCGTGCTTCTCTTGATTTGGGAGACGGCCCTGCTTTCACTGTCTCTCGAAATGCGGCCTTCCTTCACAAATTGCTGCCATGCTTCCTCTCCATTTAAGAAGAGTTTTTTTAGAAACAGGCATGAGACCCTTCCTTTTCGGTTTTTCCTCTTTTTTTCCAGTGTGGTATTGACGGTGCGACGGGGGCTTTGGCCATGCCTTTGGCCATGCCTTTGGCGCTGCGAGAGGCGCGTCCTTATCTTCCCCTTTCCCTTCATGTTGTCTGTCTCTCTCTATTTACGACCGCGTCTTAAAAAGTCCGCCTACTATCGTCACGGCACAGCCATGGCACAGCCATGGCACAGCACGCCCCTTGATTTATCGGGACCGAGAGCGAGAGAGACAAAAAGAGAGAGGGAGGACCTCGATGATATTTTTTCTCCCTCGGGGATTCGCCTCGTAGTTCGGGCCGAAACGGAGGCCGAGCCACACGACCGGGCAAAGCGCGAGTGCGAGTGAGAGAGGGCGAGCCGCCGTTGAAAACACGCTTCGGCCGGATCCCTCTGAACAGACCGCTGACAACTTTCTGGCTGTTTTCACCGCCTTTCCATCGGGCAGGCTGAAGCCTCGGCTGAAGCACTTGCCGAGCAGTACACGAATCGAATGCCAGTGCGAGGCGAGGCGAGGCACAGTGGGCCAGAAGACCGGTGGAGGCGGTCAAAACTCTAGACGCGTTTTGAGCTCCAAAGTCGCTAAATAGGACTCGAACCGAACGTGTGACCCCACCAACGGATAGCCGAACGAGGAATCCATTGGTGGGGCCACACGTTCGGTTCGAGTCCCATTTAGAGGCTCTGGAGCTCAAAACGCGTCTAGAGTTTTGGCCGCCTCCACCGGTCCTCTGGCCCACTGTGCGAGGCGAGGCGAGGCGCCTCCGCGCTGCGGATGACGCGCTCGGTGTGCCGAGTGCGGTGTGCGGCCGTGTGCCCCTGGTGTGCCCCCTCGCCGACCGTCTGCCCCCTCCCCCCTCCCCCTCCTTTTCATCGGGCTTAACCTTAAGGTTCGAGCCTCCTGTCGGCATTCAGAAAGGAAGCAATCCCCCCTCCCCCTCCCCCATCGATGGAATGCTCCCTTGCCGTGCCCGCGCCCAAATTACAGCCGTCTTTCATGCGCCCCGCCCCGCCCCGCGCCGCCCCGCCACGCACCACTCTTCCGTTGTGAATTGCACAATCGGAGGGAAGCACGGTGGGCGTGGCGGGGCGTGGCGGGGCGTGGCGGGGCGGGGCGCGGGACATGGTGTGCTAATACGAGGCTTAGTCTGAGCAAGGGCGCGCACCGGGCCCTGCGCCGCACCGCGCCGCGCTAGCGCAATAGTTGAGATGAAATTTGGGGCCTTCCTGTGCCCCCTGCCCCCTTCCCCCTCGCTTATTCCTCTCCCCACCACTCCCGCTCTTTTCATCGGGCCTTACGCACCGCTTGATCCTCCTTCGCTCCAGAGCGGCTTCAATCAAGTGGAGAGGTCCTGGGTTCAAATACCGAGTCACGCGTCTTTTTTTTTCTGCATGTTTTCGTGCTTCGGAACGGCTAAGCGGGACTTTATGGAAGCCATTATGCGGATTGGCGTTGCAAATGCGAATGCTGTTGGCGTTGCGGCGCGCTGCCGTGTCTGCAGCGCTGCGGCCCGGTGTTCCGTCGGCGAGACAGAGACGGACGGAGACAGCCCCGACACCGATTGAAGCAGCGCTGTGACGCGGCGCCATAATGAATGAGATGAGGCTGCGGGGTGAATTACCGCCGCCTGGAAGCGGGTTTCTCATTTTTATGGGACACTCGTTCGACGGTCCTTGGCACGGGCCGCGTAGCCGCGCAGTGAGGGCCGACCCGAATACCGAAGGGCCGAAAACAACCGAAGGCCCCAAGACCGACCCACGGAGGGGCCGAGGGCGACGCAGGACGACGTGGAGGCCGTGGGGCTCTTTCCCTTCGCGGTCCCTCGCTCTCTCTCCGCGCGCAGCCGCGCCCATTCACCAGAAAATATGTCGCTGTCAAAGCGAAAGCCCCGCCTGCCCTGACCTGGCACACGGCCGTGGCGCCGTGGCCGTGCACGGCGGACTGGGTCCCTCCTGGGTCCCCCGCTGGGTCCCCGCTGGGTCCGCATCGGGTCCCCATGTGCCCTGCCGGCCTGCCGGTCGGGAGGGACCCCTTCACGCCTTCAGCCTTTAGACGCCATGACCCACTTTTCGGACCGCCTAGCCTCTCGCCGGGCGTTCGCCTCATCCGCTCCGGTTCCCGTTCGCGTTCGCTCCAAAGGGTGGCTGCATTTATTTTTCACCGGCCGGGTTCAGTCAGAGCGGCGCAGACTCCCGTGTGGGGCCGTACCGGTTGCGGGGCCCGCGCAGGTCGTAGAGGCCGCTGAATACGGCGATCCGACGCAAAGGAGAAACCATGAACGGTGTCGTGTCAGGACTTCCAGAAGGAATGCTCGCTCCCGCGCTCTTATACCTTCTTTCCATTCTTCCTGGGGAAAGACGGACCCAATTTTCATCAAGCGGGAGCGACGCTCGCCTCCTTCAGATTCAATAACAAATTACCCTAAGTAATTTGACTGCTGGGCATACGCGCGCCCATTCCCCCCTCCCTTCTTTTTCTCCCCCCGCGCGTGTGTGTGTGTGTGTTTGTGTGTAATGTGGAAAGTAGGAGGGGGCGGGGCGGGTCCTGGCGCTTACCCCGCTCCTTTGCTGCTTTATTGGGAAAAGCGACTAGGTGATATTTCAGCGCGAATCCCTTTCAAATGACCCCCTTCTCCCCCTCCCCCTCCCCGGCAGCCCCTGTCCGACGTGAATAATCATCATTTTTACGGTCATTACCATGATGAGTCGTTCCCTTTCGCGAGCACTGCGTCACCCAGGAAGCTTTTCCCCTCATCATACGTGTAACGTGAAAAACATTACCGTTTTTTTAATTAATTCTTTTAATTTAGAGCGATTGTGGGCCGGGACGCTGCTCAGTGCCATGATGCCTTGGCTGCCCGCAGGTCAAGGAGTACGAGCTCTCCGAGGTGTTCCGCCACTCCGAGGACAGCCAGCACTTCGACGTATTCCGCGCGGAGCCGGCCGCGCCGCACCCCAACAGCATCCCGGTCCTGGGCGCGGACGGCGCCGACGGCGTTCAGCAGGAGATCGAGGAGCAGCGCCTGGAGGAGGAGCGGCGCCTGCAGCAGCAGGAGCTCACCACGCTGGGGTGAGTCTGGGTCCCCGACGCGGGGGAGGCCCTCCACCGGCCACCGCGATGACGGCGACCCCCTGTTGCAGGTGGCCGCTGGCGTCCGGGACTCGGAGAGCCACGGTGGTCCCCGCCGGCGACAAGACGGCCGTCGTCAACTCGATCCTCAACACGTACGGGCCGTGGGGCGTGGGCCAGGGCCAGGGCCAGGGCCAGGGCCCCAGCTACAGCCTGACGGCCAGCCCCAGCCACGCCAGCGCGGCCAGCACCACGACCAGCCCTGCCAGTGTGGCGCCGACGACGACGCCGCCGCCCCGCAGCCAGCGCCGCAAGCACAAGACCGTGCGGAAGATAAGTGCGTGCCGTTCACACTACCCAACTAAAACGTAGATGTATCTGCCGGTATTCGAACCCGCGTGCTTTGTGCTTGCAGGGGCGCCGCGGGACTGCCGCGTCGGGGAGTGGGGGCCGTGGAGCGAGTGCTCCAAGTCCTGCGGCATCGGCGAGATGCAGCGGCGCCGCACGGTGGTCAAGCACCCGCGCAGGGGCGGCCGCGTGTGCCCGCCACTGCTGGAGACCAAGTGGTGCGGCTCGGCCCGGGACTGCGCCAAGAGCTACTTCAAGTGGTGAAGGAGGAGGGCCGCGGCAGTGCACGGCAGGTGGGGAACGCGGGGAGCGCCAACAGGGAATGCCCAAGTCTGACGAGGGTCAAGTTTCGAGACCATTTTGACAATGTGGACGTCGTGCCATGACGTCACTCTGACGAGAACAATTGACTCGTCGTTCTCCCTTGGGCTTGGGGTTTCAGAAACAAACTTGCCGTTCACAAACTCTGTTTTTTTTTCAGGTGCCTGACTTGATACAAGGGTTCAGGTGGATCCTCGTCAGTCCTCACAACATCGATTCATCGATACACCGACACCGCAAGGGGAAGTCGAACTCAGGTCCGCCCTCACCGGGACGCTGATTTCGCTGGCAGAGGAGGACAGTCATATCGATGCATTTGAAGTCAAATGGCGGAAGGGTCTGCAAGACAAATCGATAATGCGAGCACACATTATTTTTCTATCTACTGTTGTTAGACGATTTTGAGAGTGCAGCTGTCAGATACCGTTGGTCTGACACATAGTCAAAGTGCACATTGATCACTGTTTACTTATATATACTTGGTGGATTCAATCCTATGTCCTTAGATTTATTTACTTTTTTATTTCCCTTTCTCTTTGGAAAAAGTTGTCAGAATGAAACACTAATGTTACTTCTTATTAATGTGTTTCAGTCACATTTAAAACTGCCACCTAAAAGCATTTAAGGACCGAAGTATTTTTACTGGTTTTGATTTTGTTCAGATTTTTGTGAATGTTTTCTTTCATTGTGCATATGAGTAGAATAATGTAGCAAAGGTTGTGTTTGTAATGGAGAGTCGTACAGTTCTGTTTTTGTTTTGTAGTAAGTTTAAATTTATTTTTTTGTTTCTGGAATTGTCTTCCTCACTTTTATAGAAACAAGACCTTTAAAAAATGAAGAGAAAAGAAAATTATCAGTTTTGAAAGTCGCATTTTGGATTATTGTGCCCTATCAAAATTTTATTGCATGTTATACCTGTAAACCAAAAAAAAAAGGTATTAAGTACAAAAGGGTTGCTTCCTGCATACCCTCTCACGGCAGTATTCACTTGTATTTTATTCTGTCATGTACTGACTCAAACCTATCAAATACTGTGAAGTACAAGGAAAACTGCAGAAAATGGGTACTATAGGACATTTCCTCCCAAAAGCTTGTATAGAAGAAAGTCATTTTGGGCTTACATCATTGTATATACATCAGTCTACGCTAAACCTTATTGTGTTAGCTTATAGAGAAGTATTTATTAAATTCATTCCTAATTTGCCCATTCATTTTCCAATATGATTAGCAAAAGCATTGTCATTGTATGTAACTACAGGACAAGTGACCAGAGTTGTTTAGATCGTACAGCATTTGTATTTCAGATATCCTCAAAGTGGAAATGATTTTAGTCTTGCACAATATTATAACTAATCTCTATGTATGAACTTAAAGAAAAACATGGATTTGCTTTTCAAGGTCCAAGTTACAAGCTAGCCAATTCATGGCCTCTCTAGTGGGGCTTGGAGGAATGCAAGTCACTTGGTCATCTATTTTTCTGTTAAGTTTATGCACAGAGCCAGAGTTCTATCCCTTAATTAGGATTGCCTTTTTCTCTTGCCTCAGCAATCTACTCTTTCTCTGACTGACCTGAACATAATTTTTTAAAGCTAGTCATTATAATGTCAATCAGTAAAGTGTCTGTGTAAGTGTATAATTTTAGTGGTGAAATATTCATAAAGTGTAGTAATAGAATCTAGTTGTATTTGATCTTTCCCTATTTTTAGAGCACCCTATCAGACAACACTTATTCCCTCATATGGGAGATATTGTGCCACACACACACACAATTTCGGGAGAATCTGAGAAATACAATTATTGGGGGGGGGGGGGTGGCAATGCTATGAATTGTTCAGTCACTGTTTATTTTACTGTACGTTTGCATTATTATCAAAATCACAGTCTCAAAAAAAAGAAAAAAATAATAACAAAAAAAATCAATAGCTTATAAAAATATGGATGCTTTTATGAGTCAAAATAGAAACTATTGTATTTACAAATGCAATGCATCTTTTTCATTACAAAGTCAGTAGTCAGCAGTCAACAAAATAATTTCATAAGGCACTTTATACATTGAAGACAACCTTTGCACTCAATGAACACATAGAACAAAAAATAGAGCATGAATAGAATACATATGGCATCGATAAAATAGATAACACTTAACATTTCAGAAGGTTATTCTGGTTCAAACACTCTTACAAACTGCACAAATGCAAAAATACATTGTTGACACTGTAAGATTAACAATTTAAATAGAAAATCTTAATTACAAGTGGACCTATATACATTTTTACTAAGCCTTTTAATTCCTCCCAAGTCGATTGTTTAAGTTCAAAGGTCTAGGGTGGCTTCTCTTGATGGGAAATAGTTAAGATAACAAATTTTACTTTCTGTAGAAGCCACTGACCGGTGGAGGGCCAGCGACCCTACTGTCTGATGGAGGAGCAGTGGGGTCCATGCCGATGGTCTGTTGTGAATGACTGGAGGTTGGAAACAATGGACTAGGTTCCAAAAGCGCAGGCTCAGATGAGGAAAAGGCTTGTGAGTAAGTATTTAATGCTTCAGATGTAGATGACGAGGAAAGTATTCCCAGAGGTGGGTTTATTTGCTGCTGTGGAACTTGACTATCAACATTGACGCCAGACGATCTGTACATTTCTTTTAACATCAACAGCATGGTGTCCTCAGATTTCCTATAAAGATTAAAGACACAATTTAATTACAGACTCAAAACTGAAAAAGGTGAAAACATAGTGTAATTAGGATAATTACCAGTAGCAAAGATGACTTCCAATAGAAAATAGATATCCATTGAAGCTTTCCAAAGGAGCTTCCTGCAAAACATAGTCAATGCGGCGTCCACCATTGAGTTTACCGACTGCAATATTTAGGTTTGATTCAGATTCTGCAGAACTTGAGCACTCTCCCATGGACTGCTGCAACATCTCATTTTCTAAAGCCTGATGCAAGGAAACAAACTCATGTGAGACATGTGATATAACAGCCAGTATTCACTTAGGGAGAAAAATATACCTTGTTCATTTCATCTGTCAGACTTTCATTGTTACGATGAAAGCTGGCAAGCTGATACACAGAGTTCCATGTGCTCCGAACAGAATCAAAGACTCTTTGTTTAAGGTCAGCTCCCATTCTGGCAACAGTTTCTTTCAATTCTGAAGAAAAACATTAAAAAACATCAGCACATGAGGAAACAAGACCCAGGGCAAAGGAAGAGAGGGAGAAGATAAGGCCTCACCAAGATGCATTCGCTTGCGGCCTTTGTGGTGAGGAATCAGAACAGGGGGTACATTCTCCATGTCTGATCTAATAAGAGTCTCAACTCTGTAGGCAACTAGGTCATAGGGATGAAATATGTTGAAGAATGCTGGACAAGTTGGGAATTTAAAGTCTTCACCCAGCTTATCTATTCCTCTTACAGTAACAAAAACACCAATGGGTGAACCAAGTGCAAAAAAGTTCTCAGGACTAAATATCAGCTGTGGATATGTGATGAAAGGTTGGCCAGTTCCAGCCGGGCCCATCATTACATAACTAATTTTGCGACTGAGTTTACTCTTCATTGGACCCAAACGAGACGGACCCTCCTGTAACACAAAAAGATCAAGTAGAGATTCTTCCAACAAAACCAAAAGCACTTTCAAAACATTCATCACAAAAAGATTAACTTTACCTTTTCTGCATCTTCAGGATTTTCAGGAATAGTCTCTCCTACATCACTAGCAGGCGGGGTAGAAGGAGAATTCTTGGGGGTAGCTGGCTGTGAACCACCTTTCTGGTGCCAAAGGAGATCAAAAAGAATCAATGATCCCAAACTGTGTCCACCCAATGACACACCACCAGTGAAGCTAGGGTTACGTTTAAGGAACAGATCATATAACCTGTTCATTTCTTTTCCCACTGTGTCTATAATAGTCTGAAAAAATTGAAAAATGAGTTGTTCATTAGACCATAATATAAGGTTCAAATCATTTAGAATAGTTAATTAAGTTTATTTACCTGGCAGTAGATAGGACTAGTGTAAAATAAAATATCTATTAATGTATCATTGGTTAGATTCCGTAACCATGGTATGCTTGGGAGAGTGATTGATTTTAATTGACGTTCAATGTCTTCACTATGCAGTTTAGCATGCCAAGATACAGGGAGAACCTCTATGCGCCTGGCTTTGCCACTTTCCACAGAGGCTGAGAAATGTGATTCAACAAGCTGTTGAGTGACAGAGCGGAAATCATCAACTGCAAAAAAAAAATAAAGGAAAAGAACATATCAACCAGTATCAACCAGTATCATGTGAACAAATATAGTACGAATTACTTACCAACTTCAACAACAGATCTGAATTTTAGATCACATGCTGAACCAATACCATGGACAATGAAAAGCAAATGGTCCACTGTTTCAGACTCCCCACTTTCAATGTCAAACTCATCAACACCTCGTTTAACAACTCTCGGTCTGTGCTGTGTACCCTGGTGAAATTATTTTATTAGGAGAGATTTCAAAACAATCAATAGCTGCACATGATAGTAGCTGCCTTGGATGCAATGCATCTATGCATCTATGCACTGCAAAGCATTTGCTTCTTAGCTAAAGCTTGGCCTGGCATGGCATGACTACTAAAAAGCTGCAGCTTTTCATGAATACTTCAAAAAATGAGTTGGGACAACACAAGACAACACAGTGAGGGGAGATAAAATGAAAAAAGCATAAAGCAAAGCTCTACATACATCTGTGTACATGTTGGGGCTCACCGGTGTGTTGCCCCATGCATCAGGAGAAGTGCTGGTCAAGTAATGTGCCATTGCATTGGCGCTGTGGAAAACAACCACTTCTCCATTTGGAAACTCAACCCTCCCCTGCCAGTCATTTTTTGTGTAACACAACTTGTATTCCTCCTATGGCACAAATAAAATTTAACATTAAATTAGTTAAGTCATTAAATACATTTAAACAAAAATGAAACCAAATCACTTACTTCAAGTCTTGTTGCAACATTTTCATCGTAAGGTACATATCGACTATCAGCATGATTCTTGTAATACCATGAGCATCGACGAACTTCTGAGGGGGCTTCCTCCCAATAAACAGCAGCACGCTGCCTTCTCAGGATATTCACATTGTAACGACTTCCATCAGTAGGCACCTCCGTTTCTGATGTGAGGTCAGCTAAAAAAGAATAAAATACTTAAAATAAAGTACAATGGCAACTGCAGATATGAGCCATGGAATGGTCGTTCCTGAACTCACGTGAGAGAAATTGTGATTCCAAAGCCATGGAATCTGCCATGGAGAACGGCTGCCAGCACACCTTGCCATCCACCTCTCTCTTGTAAAACCAATGCTGGTACACTGGCCGATACATAATGGAGGAAGAGTTCTCTAGAGGCATAGCAGCCTGGGACAGAAAAAAATGAAAAAAAAAAATTAGAAGGCAAGTTTTGTTATGTTTAAAGAGGTAAGGAAATTAAAACAAATGGAATGGGATCAAGACCAAAAGTAGAAAACCAAGTTCCCATCTCCTGGTAGCACTTTCAACAATAACACTTGCAAAGAGTGATTTACAATTGTGCTTTGCGTTTGAGGAGATCTTTTGGCTGAAAAGACTTAACTACCCGACCAAACGATGCACAGGAAAAGAGAATGCGTTTCCTGCAACCTACCTCCTGATAGTACTCCCCGCTGCCAAAGACCTCCGGCGTCACTTGTGGCGGCAAAGAGGGCGAGTCCACCGTGGGAGCCATGACGACGGGGTTCATCGGCGTGGCGCCGACGCCGAAGACGGGGGCTGAGGTCAAGGTGGACAGTGCGGGGGCCGGCGCCGCCGCCACTGCCGTCTCCAGGCCGGGCACAGGGGCGTACACGGGGCGGCGGCCTCCCAGTCGGAAGGCGTTGCCTGAGGCGGCGTCTGAAACGGGGCGGGGCGGGTTCGCACAAATTGGTCCAGCACCGGCAGCGCCGTACATCAAGTGTCATGTACTTACTCGTTGACGGCGGGGGTCCGAACCCGGGTCCCGGTGGCGGCCCGGTCGGGGTGGTGAACGGGGACCCCGAGGTCGGTGGGCCCGTGGGGGTCCCAAAGGCGGAGGTCGGCGGCGGTGGCCCAGCTGGAGTCCCGAACAAGGACGACGGCACCGGCACTGGAGCGACGGGGCTCCCGAAAGAGGACCCGCCTGGAGGCGGTGCGGCGCCCACTGAATACAGCGGCCCGGGCGGGGGCGGATGTCCCGTCGGCGTCCCGAAGGCGGCCGCCGGGGGGCTCGTCGGGGTGCCGAAGGCAGGTGGAGGGCTCGTCGGAGTGCCGAAAGCAGGCGGGGGACCCGTCGGAGTGCCGAAGGCAGGCGGCGCCCCAAATGAGGGCAGAGGTGGCCCTGACGGCGGCCTCGACGGCGGCCTTGACGGCGGCCCGGACGACGGCACCGACGTGGAGTGGGTAGGGGTGGCGAAAGGCGACGCCGCGGGCGGCCCCGTGGGGGTGAGGAACAGGGGCTCAACGGCAGCCGGGGCCGCGGTCTCGACAGGGGGTGCAGCCAGAGGGCGTCCGGCCAGAGGGGGGCCCTGGCCTAGGCCCTGGCCCTGCAGCTGGGGGCTGGACCTGGTCAGGTACAGGTCCGATGGCTGCGGCACAAAGGGCCGTCCGCCGCCCACCTGGTTCACGGTCGGGGGCGCGTAGTGCGGCCGAGGGGGCGCGCCATGCCCGGCGCCATGCCCCGCGCCCAGCCCCGGGATGTTGCCCGGGTTGTAGAAGGTGGGCGTGGGCCCGGTGGCGGGCTCCAAGGACACGGGCTGGAACGCGTCCTCCGCGGTGTCTGTGTTGGCGGCGGGCGCTGGCTGCCCTACCGGTCCAGCGGGCGGCGCTGCCGGGCCGGGGACCGCGGCCGAAGGCAGCGCTCCGAAGAGCGCCGACGTGAAGCTCCCGAACGTGGAGGCGAAGCCGCTGGGGGCGGCCGACGAGGCAGCCGACGACGCAGGGTCCCAGCCTGGGGCGGCCGCGGGGGCGGCAGCGGGGGCAGGCGCCGAGGCGGGAACAGGCGAGGGGGCGGGCAGCAGCACGCTGGAGGATCCAGCGGACAGGTCCACGTCCACATCTGCAACAACAGGAAGCGATACGGTGAGTCCTTGACGTATGAGTCGCGTGCCGAAGTCTGCGAACGGCGGCGGCGCTTCGCGAGAAGAAGTCTTTGGGCGTTATCTGCCGCGCGGCCCAGGGCGGCGACGGCCTCGGTCAATCCAATCCGGGTCCCCAAAGCGCTGCGAGGCGCGAGGGCCGAGCAATTAATTGAGTGGCTGCGCGCTGCGCGAGGGGGCGTCGCTTTATCAGTGTGCCGATGACACACGCTGGCCATGGCGGCCCACGGCGGCCCATTCACGCCGCGTTCTGGAAACGGAAGAAGGTGCGACAGGAAGGCGGGCCACGGACCGGGGGGTTATCAGGGCGGCGCCGCCAAAGAAAACCCTGATTACGGATCGGGTCCTAGAGTGCTTCGACGAGCAAGACCGTCCAGACAGCCAGTCGTCGCAGTGCACGCCGAGCGCAACGCAGCGCAACGCAGACATGTCGGTCCTGCTCTTCATGATGGCGGTAGCCGCGGTGGCCGCGGTGGCGGTCCGAGGAGGTAACGCAGGGCGAGGGGCAGGCCGACGGACGTCGTGCGGAGGCGCGAATCGAGCCAACGGGGGACGTCCCTTCTCTGTCCCCAGGTGTGGTCCTGGACGACGGGGTGCTCACGTCGGGGAGGCCCATCTGGGAGCTGGTGCGCTCCAGCGACGCCCTGCGCGCCTTCCTGGAGCACCACGCCGGCGGCGCGCCCGGCGCCCTGGGCGTCGTCGTGGACACGGGCAGCGCGGCGGCGGTGCGGCGAGCCAAGGACGCCATCGCCGACCTGCAGCGCGCCGACGTCAACGCCACCGGGCCCTTCATCTTCGCCACCTTCCACCGCACAGGTAAGCTTCGCTCCGCGAAAAGCGCCTGGAGGGTAGGCCGCCGCGGCACATCGACGCACACGTGCCTTGGCGTGGCCTACCTCGCAGGCGCGAAGGCTGGCTGAAGCGGCGAAGCGAACGCCTGGGTCGGGTCTGCGTTTATCTCTAAACCCTTGTTTAGAGCGCCCATAACGACGCTCGAATGTGCCTAGCAGCGCGTGCCTGTCTTACTGTCTGTCTGTTCGCCGTCGCCGCGCCCACATTCCGGGCGTGCGCCCCGTCCCTTCCGGCGCGTCCCGGACTCCTTATCATCCATCGCGCGGTCGCCCCGTCTCCTTTCCGGTCGGGATGACCAATGCCGACCGATGCCGCCTTTATCGTATGCAAGGCCGCGGGCTGGAGGAGCGCGTGTTTGCAGAGGGCCGTGTTTGCCAGTGTGCCGTCCTTGGAGCGCTGCACGCCCGTGCACTTCTCCGAGGCCTCACGCTGCGGGTTCGGCGGTCGTGAAACCTCTATCGTTTTTATTGCAGGCGTGTCGCAGCCGCGGCTCTTATCCAGTTGGTCCGAGCTGCAGAAGGCCGTGGCCGCCGTGCCGGTCCCCGACGCGACGCGCGACGGCCAGGACGCCGAGGGCCGCGGCGCCGCCCCGGGGCCGCTCGACGCCGTGCTCGGGGTGGCCGGCGTCGCGCCCCGCGGCACCCGCATCGTCCTGGTGACGGAGCACGGCGCCGAGGGCGAGGACAGCGAGGCCGCCGCGGTGGCCGACGTGGGGCGCGCGCTCAAGGGCGCCGACATCCAGGTGGGTGGACGCCGCCGCCAAGGCACTCCGCGTGCGTCGGGGCCGGCGGGTCACTCTAGCTCGGGCTGTTGTTGTAGCTGGACGCGTGGGCGCTGGGCGACTGCAGCGGCTACCACGCCGTCACCAGCGTGTCCAAGACCACGGGAGGCTCCTTGGGGTGCGGCGAGCTGTGGGGCCCGGGGGTCGGCCCGAAGGACGGCGCGGACGACGGCGTCATCGACACGTTCAACCCAGAACAGCGGAAGGACTCCGAAAGACTCAAAGAGGTGATCCACCAGGATTCCGCCAAACAAAACAAAACGCCCTCAACGGTACTCGAACTGAGAACCCTTTGATGCTGCCCCAGGTGACGCTGGCCAGGCGCCAGGGGCTGACGACGCCGATGGAGGTTCACGTGGACAGCAGCGTGGCGTCCCTCCAGGCCGTCGTGCGGGGCGCGGCGTCTCTACGCGCACCGTCCGGTACGTCACGCCACGTCACGCCACGTCACGCCACGTCACGCCGCGTCACGCCGCGTCACACCAGAGCACGCGTGCTGGCCGGGCCCTCCTCGACCTTGCCCGAAACACACGCAGTTCCTATATAACTTGCGCGGCTAAATTTGTCGCCGGCGCCCGAGTTTGCCCCCACCCCAACCCCTTCAGCCCGCTCCCCCGCGCGAGGCGCGCCAACACACACAACACACGAGCAGCTCGCTAGTGCAGGCCTCGCTATGCGGGTTCGCGCCACCCTTGCCGCGCACACCACTCATTTATCCGACAAGAAGATTGCTGTCGGCAGCAAGCGGCCTTAGTCTTAGAGCGGCGGGCACCGACAGTGTGCCTGCTGTCTGTGCCGTTCTCAAATTAAAGCCGACCAGGACCAGACAATGGGCAGGCATAGGCAGGCCGCTCAGTGCAGCAGGGCGGTGTGGGGGTGCACAGTGCACAGGTACAGTGCGGGGTAAAAATACACGCGCCACGTACACTGCAATGCCAGGGCTGCTAGGCCCGCCAGGCCCGACCCTTGGCGGGGCAAAACGGACACTAAGCGACCAAGACGGATTAATATGGCCCGGCCGCTCGGCATCGCGCGGCGTCGCTCGGCGCAGCCAATCAGGAGCCGCGTTGCCCAACGCCCAAGACGACAGAGACGGACGACACCTGTAGTCTGATTCCGAGCAGTGCTTCGTCGCTCTCTCTCGCTCGCCAACGGCAGTGGGAGAGAGGCAGAGCGACGAACGCACACTGTTCGGTTCGGAATCAGCCTCTCGCCTGTCAGGTAGACATGTACGGCGGGACAAACATTCGCAGCGCTGACGCGTACCTTTCAATTTTTTGTTTGCCTCTGCCTCTTTTTAAGCGTCGTCTGGGCGTCATAGTGGCACGCCATTTCGGCAATCGTATTGCAATTATTGTTGTTTTTCCCTGGCCAGGTCGCAGCTGGTCGCTGGGGACGGAAGACGCGGCGCCCTCCACGCTGTCCCTGGACGGCAAGCAGCTTCGGGGCGCGGCCGGCAACGCGGGTGAGTGGCACTCTCACTCTCGCACTCACGGAGCGTGCCCGTGTGGTGCGAGGGAGACGGTTCCGCAGCACCGCGTCGTCTTGACCCGACGGTCGTTCGTTCCAGATGCGCCCTGGGTGCTGACGCCCCTGGACCGCGTGCCCGTGGACGTGGAGGTGCGCGCCATGAGCAGGCTGGACGTGGCGGCGACCCTCGTGGAGGAGGCCGACGAGGCCGTCAACGCGGCGCGGCAGCGCACCGCGGCAGGTACGTGTGGAGGAAGCTCGAGGAAGCACACCAACCACATCTCCCGGCCGTCACTCCGTCACACGCAACGTCCACGTCACGCGCGTGTCGCCGACGCGTCGCCGACGCGTCACACGATGCCGTCACGCCCGGCTTGCACCGCTGCGCCGCGTCGCGTCACCGCATGCGCCCCGCAGTGCATTGGCCACTGCAGCGCGGCAGCGCGGCCGCGTCACTCGCCCCGGCCGGCTATGCCCCGGCCTTGGCCTTGCCTTCTAGTTTCCCATGGTCAGCCCGATAGCGGGCGACAGGCCGTCAGGCCGTCAGGGGGGTGCCGCCTGCGCAATAAAAACAAACTTGAAAACTAAAGTTCGGTGGTCTTGTCATGACGTCATGACAACGTCTTCTTGTCGCGACGGCGCGACACGGAGCGGTGCGGCCCACCCGAGGGCCCGCCTCTAACCCGCGGTTAAGTTTTAACTCGTCGGGACACCGTCGGCTCCTCTTCATGAATACACAATCACGAAAAGCGGAGGGGAAAAAACGGCGAGCGTGAAGCAACGACTGTCCGTCACTTTGCTCCGTCGCCGCTCGAGGCGTGCGTGCGGGTGACACGGAACCAGTTCATTTTTCATCCTCCTCAACTTCCGCGTCAGCGCGGCGGAATTTGGCGGGCAGTGTAGGGACCCGTTTCCCGAGGCGGCGCAGTGAGAAGCGCACCGGTGCGCGCGGCACGGAACGGCAGGAACGGATTCAAGCAAGAAACGCAGCAATATGCGTGCAAGTGCAAACGGCGGCGCAGACCGTCGGCGGGGTATTCGAACCCGGGCCCGAGCGGTTCGAAGCACCGCACCGCAGACTTACAAAACTCGGCGCACGAGGAGGCCGGTCCGAAGCCCCGCGCGGTGCTGCTGGTCGTCCGCGACGTCCGCGACGCCCGCGACCCTACACACTACTCTGCGAGCCGCGCGCGTCCTTCGCGAAACGCTCCCGGGGAAGAACTGGCGGTAGTGACGGCCAGCACCTTGCGGCCTGGCGTAGCCTCGCAGCCACGCCGCGCCCAGCCGGGCAAGCCGGGCCGCCATGAGTCGCGCAGCATCCCCCTCCCCCTCCCCCGGGCCCGCGCCTAAATGGTGTGCCAGTCTAGCCGCCCATTATCGCCAGGGAATGACATCACGGTCAGTATCGGCACATCTCCAATGTAATTGGCGCGCTGACTCGGAAAACACCAACAAAGTCGCCGGTGCAGTAGCAGTACCCCCCCTCCCCTTTCAACAAACACACACACACACAACAAAAAATGACTGCGGGGTCATAAACGTAAGAGCAAACTATTTAAAGCCTCTTGCGCCCCGTCGCCACAATCATGGCGATACGGGGATCCGAGCCCCACCATTGTGCCAGTGTACGCCACATGCGAGTGCACTGGGCTGCAAACAACAGGCCGGCGTCAATTAAAAAACACGAAGATGTGCAAGGAAGGCGTGGTGGCGCAAATGTGGGACAAGCGCCTCACGCAGCCTCAACAGACGAAAAAAAAAAAAAACACATTGCCGACTTTCTCCAGGTGCAAACAAGCAGCCTTCGACACACCCTAAAATGATAATAATTTGAGTGAGTCTTCCTCCTCCAGTGACGGTGGACAGGGTCCGACTGCAGGAGCCCCAGGGAGTGAGCATCAGCTCAGTGAGGCTGCTGGACGAGTCCGGCCACGAGCTGGGCAAGGCAGCCCGCAGCGCCAGCCCCACTGCAGGCAACACTTCCAAACAGGCAAGACACTAAACTGCAAAATATTTGCTTTAAAAAAAAAATTCATTAATTCTTGATGTGATTTTGTTTTTCTGACAGTTGGCTAGAAGAGCCGCCCGAACAGCCCGCACTGAATTTGAAGAAGAATCGGAATGGGAGGTGCAGTCACTACCAGGGGGCAAACCATCCCTCGTGGAAACCACGGGCCACAACAGCAAAGGTGAGTCCTCCTGACTCGACATAAACCGAAGCCAATGACAAAAAAAATTAGAATGCATCCATTTTTTTTTCCTTTAGGAGAAGTGTTTACCCGTGTGGCCAACCTGACGAAAGTTGATAACGTGCTGCTGGTGCTGCCGCCGGTCGATATCGAGCTCAACCCAAACACCCAGCTGCTGGTGAGGCAGGGCCAGACCCTGCAGATGAGCTACGATGTGACCAACAACAGGGACTTCCCTCAGCTCCTTCACTTCAACATGAAGGACGACCTCGCCTTCCTCCTGACGATGACACCCGTCGAGTGAGTCCAGTTGTTTGCTATCAATTTTGCCTTTACCCAGCCTTTTAGCAGTCTTTTTGAACATGCAATATTTTTATTCTCTCCTCTTTTGCAGAGCTTTGGTCCCCCCAAGGCAGACCGTCCAAGTAGTTGGAAATTTGATCATTAAGCAAAATGCAGCCTACGGCCAAACAGACAAAGTCGTTTTCTCAGCTCGATCAGTTAACCTTGGCCAACAGGAGACGACAAAAGGTGCAATTTTATACATTCAACAAGAGCAGCTAAATGACGTTTACAATCCAACTATATGGGCGACCTGGAAAAGTACATGCTCTGGAGCATGGGATCCTGCTACATGTAACACAAACATTTGGACAGTTGACTTTGAAATTCAAGATAAAGATTCGGGTGAGTTTTCTCTGCTTACAGTGTTCCAATAGTTCACTTCAAGATTTTTATAAAAACTAATGTTTTCCTCAATTACTCTAGGATTACTGTCAATCACATCCAATCCCAGAGGAATTCAGTTTAGGAATCAAGACTTTGTTTCTGGAACTCGTCAGCCAGTACGAGCCTACTATACTGCCTCTTGCTGTGCCAAGAGGGTTGATATTGTTGCAACAGATTTAAGGGGGAACTCCGTTCGACAAACATATGATGTAGGATCTCGTAAGTAGCCTATGCCTCATAAGTTGCTATAATACCTGTGAAACATATTCTTAATTTTGATGTTAACTTTGTTTTGTTTCCACAGAGTTTCTAAGTCCTGGAGAAATTGCTGGCATTTCAATGGGTGTGATAGCCATTATACTTATTGTTGTTATCATCATACTAGCTATTTTGCTGTGCAGAAGGAGGGAGTCTTTAAGACTTGAACGAAAGCTGTCCAGTAGATTAGCACGTGAACGTGATGCTCGATAATGTTTGGATTAATTTTAACGTTTCAAAAAAAAAAATTGTTTGTACTAACATTTGATAAAATCTCAGTAATTAATAATAGTAGAATAGAGTAAGAAAGTAGAAAGGTGTTATCTTTCAAGACAAATTAATATGAAAATAAAGTATTTGACAACCAACCTCATAAAAAGTGAGGTTATGCGTTCGGAAAGATAACTGGCGATGCAAAACAAATTTTGCTGCGAAAAATGTGAGCAAATTCTTAACCATTAAATAAAATTAAGCAAAACTGAAAAACCATTGTAGTTTGAAAAATTGTCAACAAACATGTTGTGTAATGTAAACAGACATAAAACACGAAAAGTTCACGCCCTCGTACACATTAACAGGCCATTGCCAGCAGATTCCCGCAACCTGCTCTTAGACTTCGATGAGAGCGGAACCCTTCTGATGACCTGTTGGACCCCTGTCATTCGCATGACACGCCCAAATGGACATTTCTCATTTCTCAGAAACCGACTCGGCCTAGCAGACAACATCTGTTGCGAGCGGACCCCCGCGATTTGTACTCACCGCCAGTCAGGACGGACGACGAGTTTTCGGTGACGGGCACAAGCAAAGGGCTGGCGGTGATATCGTCCAGGGAAAAACCGCCCCTAGCCCCGGAAAGGAGCAGATTTGACGGCGATTTAAACGTGTCGCTTCGCCGCTTGTCGTCCATGACAGCTGTTGTGGACAAGTGTGAAAGTGAGCGAGCGAGAGAGAAGAGAGAGAGAGAGGTGGAAGATGTGAGCGCGCGTCGGGCAGGGAAGGCCGCCCGGAAGTCGATACCGATTGTCTCAGGAGAACAGAGTGAGAGAGAGGGAGAGACGAAACGAAGACATTTCTCTCAAGCGCCGGGCCGAGGGAAGTCCGCGCCACCATGACCAAGTCGGCAGCAAGGAACGAACGTGGCCGTGTTGGTTAAGAAACGTGTTTAATCGTGTTTGCTGCACGCCGACTAGTGGGCGAAGCCCTTTCTGTGCGACGTGTTGAGCAGAATCTGCAAGTACTGGAACCAGGTCCGCAGCGCCCGTTCGCAGGACCGGTGGTTCAGCGACACCATCCCGGGCACGCCGAAGCAGGCGGGCCGCGCGGTCCTCTGGATGGCCTGCAGGCGGAACCGGCGCGAGGTGGTGTCCTCGGCGAGCCAGGGACCCTGCGCCCACCACACATACACTGTAGGCCCAGCCAGGTCCGGCAGGTCGCCGTCGCACAGTGGGCCGGAAGACCAGTGGGTGGACAAAACCCTAGACGCGTCAGCCGACTCCTTCCAAAGGGCGTCGCGGCGTCGCAGTCGGCTCCCCACCCCCTGAAGGTGCGAGAGAGACGGCTGTACCTGGTAGGCGCCCCAGCCCACGGCCTCGCTGCTGTCCTCGAGGCGCTGGCCGGCCACGCACTGCGGCACGAAGAAGATGAAGAGCAGGGGCACCATGGCCAGGGCGAACATGTCGGTGCGGCCCACGGACAGGATCACCTCCACCGTGCTCACCTGCAACGCCGGCGAGCGCCAGTCAGAACCATGGGCAGGCCGGCGGGCGCGGAGACCCCTTTCTCCCCACCAAACTAAACAGAAAAACTCCAAGACAAGGAAGAGAGCGCGGGGAAGCACCGTTTACCCACCATGGGGAGCAGCAGCCCGACGGTGTGGAAGTGGGGCAGCTTGTGGCCGAACACGTCGCTCAGCAAGCGGCATGACTCCGTCACGCGTCCGTGCATCTCCAGACTGCGCGACGTGTGGGCCGCGCCGCGCTGGGCCTGCACAACCAGCACGCTAGCGCTGTCTCTCTCGCACTCTTACGGGCGCCCCACGAGTGCGAGAGAGACAGCGCGACACAAGCCGTGCATGGAATGAACTCGCGTACCTTGAGCCGCGCGCCGAGCTGGAGGTACAACGCCGTGCAGGCCTGGTGCAGGGACATCTGCATCAGCAGCAGCGTGTACAGGCAGTTGTGGCAGCACATGATGCCGTACACCAGGACCAGCAGGGCGCACCAGCGAGCCGCAGCGCCCAGGTGCTCGTACAGGAGGCGCGTCGTGGCCGAGTCCGTGTCCGCGGCCAGCGTCAGCACCACGAACACCTGCACACAGAGTGGCGCGCCAGGGACGGCCATATCTCGTTTTGCAGTGCAGGCGATCAGTGTGGTCTAGCCCTTAATGGTAATGGTTGCGGCCCGCCCGCAACACAGCCCCGCTCTGCGGGACTGCCTACCCCGGGCTTCGCAGGCTGAGGCCGCCCCGCACCCTCACCTGAGTCAGCAAGGCGTACGCCACGAGAACGCGCGTTCGACGTACAGCCACTCGGGCTTCCCCTTCAAGAAGAGCCTGAAGCAGCAAGCATTTCGCCGTACCGTTCCTGGAGCACCCTGGACAAACTCCCGCGCTCCAACCCCCTGGTTACCTTGACGTCGAGCGTCGCCTCCCTCTCCACCTCCACGGCCACGGAGATGGCGAGGCGAAGCGCCTTTATGGCGGCCCCCGTCTTCTGGGCAAGCATCAAGTGCGCCACGAAGCTCGAGTAGCCACCGAGGAACGCGCGCAACGGGAGCCGCGCCGCCTCCGAGCTCTCGGCCAGGACGACGTCGGCGAGCGAGGCGAACATGAACAGCAGCACGGCCGCACCAGTGACCCGGGCCTCCCTCATGTAGCGCAGGACACGTCGAAGCAGCACGTCCTTGTCGCCGTCCACCGACAGGCACCACAAGAAGGCCTGCAGATGCGCCGCCAGCCCGGAGGTGGCCGTGGGACACATGTCGACCGCAGGAGGCCGCCAGGCGAGGGCGCGGACAGCACCCACGGGCTGCGCCCGGCAACAAGAACGGACTGGAAGCACGGGAAGGGGAAGGGCCCGCGGATGGGCGGGGCGGGCCACCATTGCAAGGGGTGAGTTGTCAGCCCCGCCAGGACCAGCCAGTCGGGGCGCAGGACGTCCACGACGAGCAGCGCTGTGGGAGAAAGAGCGAGCCTGTGCCTAGCGGGGGGCGCCACCTCGACCACGACCATCTTGAGGTGTCGCCCGAGCCGAGCGACTGCTGCGGGGAAGACCGCCCGCCAGTGGGGAAAGGAACTGGGGGCGGTTATCCCCGCAGCAACGCCAGCGCAACTTCTTCTGGGCCTGAGAGCAGCAGCGAGAGAGTGAGCAAACACGACTGGAGTGCGGACGAGAGACGAGACGTGACGGGCCAGACAGTCACCACCAGCCAGACTCAGCAGCGACAGACTCCGGGGCGCAACCGAAACAGACCCACGACGAGCAGGGCGGCGACGATTTGAGTCCGGAGGCACAGACACAGTCGTACTGGTCGGGGATCTGTAGTTGAGGGTTCCGAATGGCATCCATCCATCGCCAACTCAGCGGGCTGATTCTGAGCGGGGATCCCGTCGCCCTGTCTGCTGGGTGCAGTATTCATGTGGTGGCAGGCAGGCGTTGCGAAGTCCGAAGCGCTCACGCACACCGCTCATCATTAACGCGTGCCTTACTTCATTCATGAGCGAGGGTGAGCGTGGTGTGCACGGCAGGGCCTGCCGGGCAGGCTGGGCGGGGTGCTGCTGGCCTGTGCTGGCCATGCCGGCCACTGGTGCGACGGAGAAGCACGAGCACAGCACGCAGCCAGTGGCACGCCAGGCAGGACAGCGGTGGAAACTGGTGGAGACGGCAGGTCTGTCTGTGTGTGCTTTGCAATCAGGGGGGGACATTTTCACATCACGCCTTTTATGTCCGTGAGGAGATCAGTTTCCAGAAAACATTGTGCCAGATTGTCATGTTGCCTGATGTGTGGAATAGTGCAGTGTTGGGCGTAAAGAATTAAAGTCCAACTCGGTCACAATGGCTTGGGATAGGATGAAATATTATTGAAATATCAATTTAAATTAAAACACAAATTTATTCTCCATTATTAGAGATTTTGAATACATAGAACTAAGAAACAAACATGAAATGAAACAAAACACAGAAAACGAAAGGAGGTGCGTCTGCTTGCTACCTCAAGATGGAGAGTTGTCTGCCGCCTCTTCCAAGGAAAGCAAAGTCACATTTTCTCTCAATTTATAAAATAACAAAAAGAAAAAAAAATTCACACCCTGTAACAAGAAAATGACAGATTCATTAACAAAGAATATGTATGCTTATTGTTCAGGGTAACCAAACAAAACAAAAAAACAGGGTTCATTCCATAGCTATACAGTCCCACTTCACTGACTGGTAAGAGATTGCATAGCTTTGTGATGAACTATAGAGAGAATCCCTCTCTCCTTTCCTTTCATCTTACCTAAAAATACATCTTCTGTTAGGAACATACAGAATAATTACTAATATATAAATAAATGAAGACCATGGCACCAATTGGACAATGCAGAAACTTAGAGTCTTGTTTCCTAAAAGAGGGAAAAAGGGTTTATGGAAGGATGGATTGGCTATTTTTTCAGTAATCAAGAAGAAGAGAATGGAGTGAATACTCACCTTACATTCAGTCAAATAATAACATTTTAAATGTTCATCTGGTTTTGGTCCACAATTAGCAGTAGGCTTAAACAAGTGAGATGCAAGAATCAGTCTTCTGTGGAAAAGCATTCCAGCAAGGAAAAGCATTTACCTAAAACAGAAAAATAACAATAAAAGATGCAATTGTAGGATAAAAAATATAGTCTCCTTAAACTTAGGTAATAATTCTCACCTTGCAGCACAAAACACACAGCCAACAAAGCTGTGCAAGGTCCGAATTTTCTGCTACACTTAGTTGACATGAAAAGTAAACTTGCTTGATCCTTCTCGGTTTTCCAGCACTCCTCCCTCTGAGGATCGAGTTAGGTCAACTACATGCTCCTGGCTTTCTTGTTTATCAAGATCCATTATTATTACACTATCTCCATTATCCTTTCTTTTCTTCACAGGGCGCCTATGAGTAGCTAGGACAGCATTCCGCATCACATCGTCATGCATGAGCATGCTCAAACCTACGGTGCTTGCTGTCTCTTGAAGTGCATCTTTAGCTCGTGAAGCCTGTGTGGAAAGAAAAGAAAATTGGTTGACAATATTGAAATGTTTGTCATGGGCAACACTACCCTTGCCCTCATGTGGGAAGGTTGTTGTTCCTTACCTGCATGCGCTTGGCATTCAGTGCCTTGCGGGCTGCATGCTGTTCGGGTGTCTCCTTTGCTCTTAGCACGTTCATGCGTGCAGCATTCTGAGCACGCCTCGCCACTGCCTGATCAGGTGACTCCCTGGCCCTTGCCGCCTGCAGGTGGAAAGAGATGAGTCAATGCTGTTTTACAGATGTCAATAGAAATACATTTGGTAAAACTGGATTGTAACAAGCCTTCACAGAATGTAAGGTTTCCCTGGTCACACGGTGTGAAGGAATCCACAACCTCAGCCAATTAACGCCACAGATCTTTAATCAGGACAGGATTTACTACTCACCTGCATTGCAATAGCATTACGAGCTCTCCTATCAGCTGCTTGTTCTGCAGTCTCGCGGGCTCTCAGAACCTCCATGCGAGCTGCATTTTGCTCTCTACGGGCTGCGCAACCCTCAGGTGTTTCACGTGCTCGGGCAGCCTATATGTTAAACCATGTCCTTGAATAGAATTGAAAGCAACAGCCACTGAATGTATGATATTTGATAATCTTTACCTGCATTGAAGCAGCATTTCTGATACGTCGTGCAATAATTGATGGTTTTGGAGGTTCTACTGTGGGCCCTGCTGACCACATTAGGGTGGGTGTCTTGTTAGGATCGTCCATTACCTGTAACATTCCCAATGAGCTTAAGGAAACTAAAACAAGCCACATCCATACCCATTCAAAAGCTGAAAGCAACAAAGAAGTTTCTTGCACACTCAAACAACCTAAAATCAAACTGTCTACACCCATGTACAAACAGCAATAACCCAACCATACATACGAAATGACAAAAGCAACAGTAAAAGAACTGAATTTAATGAACTCAAACAATTTGAAAAGAAATGGTAATCGTTTGTGGACTAGGTAACGTTGCAAACAGATATATCGTTTCGGGAAGAGAGTATCATAACCTCAACCCACTGCATAAAGCATTTTTTCCAAAAGAAACCAGACCTAGAAAAAATGAACCAAAAATCTTAAGGGGAAGGCTTACACTTACGTGAATGGTGTTGACAATTAATATAATAACAGCAAAGAAACTCGGACAGGAAAAGGCCAAGTTGTTACAGCATCATCATCACTGAGCAAGCTGGGTTTGTTTACATACTACGCAAACCCACCCCACTACTCCCCGTCTGATCAATAAAAGTCAAAATCCCCCTACAAATACCTCAAATATCCTGCATTTACGTCAAATCCTAGCCATATCTGGAGGAACACCGTAACTTACCATAGCGTTACAGCTCCACCCTTTAAATGAGATGATTTTGAACGTAACCCTTCTTGTGTATTCCCCCGCAGAGGAGATGGACCGGAAGTAGTAGCAGGTTGCCATAAGCATGCTGCGCGCTTTCTTTCGAACTATCAAAATACGCCGACGATCAGAAACGCTTGTTTTTGAGCAAAGATTCTCTTTACATTTTTTAAGGAAGGTATGTCTTATAAGGCAAGCATTGAGTCGAGAGAAGCTGTTTGTGTTACAATGGATTTTGTGGTAATGATTGATGACAGCAACCTTTTTCTTTTTTTAATAGAAAAAAAATCACATTTACACAAATTGATTCTTTAACCATACAGAACAAAACTATGAACAAACAGCTGGTTTGCGGTATTTTCCTTGAATGAAAACTCGGTCAGCATCAACTTCTTCTTTTATGTTTATAGTTTTTCTTTGGACATAGGAATTTTCTATAATTTCAAATCCAGTTTTCAACATTAATTCTTTGAGATATTCCTCTGAGAAAAAATAGGACCTGAAACATTTAAGTATCCTTGTAAGTACAAAATTTAAAACATAAAAACAATCAGAAAATTGTTCCGGGATTTCACTTACCTAGTTCCATCCTGTCTCATATAGAAATTTTCAGATATTTTATTGCCAGGCTTAAACCTTAGTTGAGCCATATCATACAGACCATAATCACGAAGCAATAAAATTCCTCCTGGTTTTAATATCTTAAAAATATTACTTAAAGTGACAGTAAATTTATCTGGGTGAATGGCAGAAAGCACAAATATTAATGTAACTATGTCAACTGAACTGTAAGAAATTTCTGCAAAAATATTTTCAGTAGTAATATCACATTGAAAGGCTTTCATTCTGGACTCATCATAATTGACATTAGACTTAACAAAGTCCACAGCTCTTGGAGATAAATCACATGCATACACAAAAAAATTCATGCCTTCCTCCACAAGAGGGTAAATGAGATTCCCAACGCCGCAGCCGACTTCAAGAAGAGTTCGTTTATTCTCAGCACAACCAACTAGTTCAATAAACTCTCTTGTAGTCCAGTGACGGTCTTTAAAAAATCTTGTCTCATTTCGTTTGTAGAAAAGGTCCCAGTGCTTTTTAGCATTTTTTTCAAGTTGCTGAGCTTGAAATGATGAAACAAGTCGGTTGTCTTGTTTCTGCAGCTTCTCCCGGTCTTCTTCTGAGAGTACACGGGCACAATGCCCTTTGAAGGAAGTGTCTTCTGTGTGATCCATTCTGCAAGATCTGCAACGATAAATTAAAAATTATTAATCACCAGCATTGCTTCCAACGTGTTGACGTTTCTTTTCTTTGATCTTAATTATTCAAAATATCGGGATCAATTTTGAGTCAGTGGCTACAAAATATTTATCTGTAAGCACTGGCTCTGCTGTCATGGGCAGCTGCACTGCCACGCCTGAGTGGCTCTGAGGCAAGGGAGACAAAAAACTGGAGAAAATAGTGAAATGAAGGGGCTTGGTAGATCAGGGTGTAAGAAGTGAACGGTTTTCTCCCGTCACTCCACCGTGACTTATTTCCGTCTTGCCAGGGATTACATTGGGTAACCTAAGCAGAAACTGCAGCATTCCCAACCTCCTGTTTCTGCTGCACGTGCAATAAGTAGTTTCGAGGTCGGTGTACGTGTAACATGTGTACCTATAGGTTATTATTCGAGAGAGGTCAGAATGAACCGATGCCGATATCAGCAGTCTCGAACAAACGAGGTGGCTGACGACATGCCCCAGATTTCCGCCTCCAGATACTTCGTGGCCGATCTCGATCTCGCGCTTGACCAGACCCAGATTTGTGGCTTTCGGCCTCGTCGCCAGACCCAGTATTTACCCCGTGCCGATACTCCGTTACCTGCCGCTACTGCCAGGAGCTTTAGGCCCCTCAGACCAACGTGGGCCAATGGGAGCCAGCCAGCTGCTGGTCCCGCGGCCAATCAGGGCTACGCTCGTAGTGAAACGTCATCCACGCCGACCAATGGCGTTGGGCCACATCCGCGGAGGGGAACTTTCTGGCATTGATATTCGGGACGTACCAAGCAGACGTCGTGTTACTTCACTTCAGTGCAGACCGTTAGACAGCTCAGTGGATTGTGTTTCGCCGTGCGTTCTATATTGTCCTGCGGACGCGTCAAGACTCTTCCCTAAATTTGGTGCGTTCACTTTTTAATCGCCTCGTTTCTCTGTGTTGTGCTGCCTTTGCCTTTGAAAGCAGCGAAACTCTGCGGAACGGAACACCGCCCGCCGGCTACTCTATCCGTCGAGTTGAGACGCGTATTTGAGTGTGTTCGTGCCTGAGTCGTGGAATTTGACAAGGAATTGCATTGTAGCAGACATTTTCACTCGTTTTCTGAGTGTGAGCAAGTGGATACGTGTCGGGCTTAACAGAAGAAACGGGCTCTTTCGGCCGACATAGCTAGCCATAACCTCCATTGGTTGCTTGTATCATCCTCAAATACGACACGTCAGTGGTTTGTCATTAACTATTCGCATCGAATTTGTTTGCGAAAACCATTCTGAATGGTCTCTGTGGTCCATATTTCGAAAGAACAGTGCTACTTTTCAGCAATTTATCAAACTATTCGCCACTTTGCTCACACCCTTATGTGTCAATGAGTGATGTGGCATCATATATGCATCTTTCCTTTCTGCTCTCGCTCTTTCATTTTCGGTGACTTACCTTGTTGAGATGAAAGAAAGTGTGTTGGAAAACATCTTCAATGAATTTCTTTGTTTGTTTCAGGTGAGAACGTTCCACCATGAAGTTATTCTTAGCGGGAGTGGTGTGCCTTCTGGTCGCCAATTCATTGGCTGCCAAAGACGAGAAGGACAAGGCAAAGGAGGTTGGAACTGTAATTGGTATTGATTTGGGAACCACATACTCCTGGTAAGTTGAATTTTATCTCTTTTTGCTTGTTTTACTTAATACTCAAATGTTAGACAGTTTATGTTCTTTGTTTATAACTGTGATTTAACTCCTTGTTTCCTTCTTCCAGTGTTGGAGTTTACAAGAATGGACGTGTGGAAATCATTGCCAATGACCAGGGTAACCGTATTACTCCCTCATATGTGGCTTTCACTGCTGAGGGTGAACGTCTGATTGGTGACGCTGCCAAGAACCAGCTTACCACCAACCCTGAAAACACTGTCTTTGATGCGAAGCGTTTGATTGGTCGTGAATGGACAGACACCACTGTCCAGGCTGACATCAAGTTCTTCCCCTTCAAAGTAATTGAGAAGAACAGCAAGCCCCATGTTGTGGTCAAGACTGGTCAGGGTGACAAGACCTTCGCCCCTGAGGAAATCTCTGCCATGGTTCTCGGCAAAATGAAGGAAACCGCTGAGGCTTACCTCGGAAAGAAGGTTGGTCTTGAAACTGTATCTGTCAAGTTGCATTTTAATTACTTCGATTTGGAATCTAACTGTTGCATTTCTTGGTTTAGGTCACTCACGCTGTTGTCACAGTGCCTGCCTACTTCAATGATGCCCAGCGTCAAGCTACTAAGGATGCTGGTACCATCTCAGGTCTCCAGGTTATGCGTATCATCAACGAACCCACAGCTGCTGCTATTGCTTACGGCTTGGACAAGCGTGAAGGAGAGAAGAACGTCCTTGTCTTCGATCTTGGTGGTGGTACTTTTGATGTGTCTCTCCTGACCATTGATAACGGTGTCTTTGAGGTAAGAAACATTGTTATCTTGTTTTTGGAAGGTTAAAAGTTTCGCATTCCATGTCCTTTTTAAAACCTTTTAAATGACCGATAATTAAAAAATACTGTTTTCTTTTAGGTCGTTTCCACCAATGGTGACACTCACTTGGGTGGTGAGGACTTCGATCAGCGTGTTATGGATCATTTCATCAAGCTGTACAAGAAGAAGAAGGGCAAGGACATCCGCAAGGACAACCGTGCTGTTCAGAAGCTGCGTCGTGAAGTTGAGAAGGCTAAGCGAGCGCTCTCCTCCAGCCACCAGGTCCGCATTGAAATTGAAAGCTTCTTCGAGGGTGATGACTTCTCTGAGACCCTTACCCGTGCCAAGTTTGAGGAGCTGAACATGGTGAGCTGCCTTCTGACATAATTTATTTCTGTACACTATTTTTAATTAAAAAAATTTTTTTTTTAGTAATTTTGGTAACTGTTAGAAATTAAACCCCTTCATTCTTTGTATCACAGGATCTCTTCCGCTCCACCATGAAGCCTGTGCAGAAAGTCTTGGAAGATGCTGACATGAACAAGAAGGATGTTGATGAAATTGTGCTTGTCGGAGGTTCCACCCGTATTCCCAAGGTTCAGCAGCTTGTCAAGGAGTTCTTCAACAACAAGGAGCCTTCCCGTGGTATCAACCCTGATGAAGCTGTAAGTATGATTTTATCCTGCCTTGAGGACTGTTTTATTTTATAGTTACTTGTATCACATTTCATGGCGGTTTAGACAAAAATTTTGAATTGTTTTTCTTCTCTGCTTTACAGGTTGCCTACGGTGCCGCTGTTCAGGCTGGAGTGCTGTCTGGTGAACAAGACACTGATGCTATTGTCCTTTTGGATGTTAACCCTCTTACTCTGGGTATTGAAACCGTTGGAGGTGTCATGACCAAACTGATTCCCCGCAACACCGTTATCCCCACCAAGAAATCCCAGATCTTCTCCACTGCTGCTGATAACCAGCACACCGTCACCATCCAGGTTTATGAAGGTGAACGCCCCATGACAAAGGACAACCACCAGCTGGGTAAATTCGACTTGACTGGCATTCCTCCTGCACCTCGTGGTGTTCCTCAGATTGAGGTCACCTTCGAAATTGACGCCAACGGTATTCTGCAGGTGAGTTTTCTTATCCTTTCTGTGTACTAATTTTAAATCTTCTGCCATCATAAACTAAATTATGTTATTTTTCTTTCATTAGGTGTCTGCTGAAGACAAGGGCACTGGAAACCGTGAGAAGATTGTCATTACCAATGACCAAAACAGACTGACCCCTGAAGATATTGACCGTATGATCAAGGATGCTGAGAAATTCTCCGATGAGGACAAGAAGTTGAAGGAGCGTGTTGAGGCCAGGAATGAGCTGGAATCTTATGCCTACTCCCTGAAGAACCAGCTTGCTGACAAGGACAAGTTGGGTGCTAAGGTGAGATGAGATCAAATGCTGCTTTTGATCTTGTGTTTAAGGTATTAGTTGAGGAGAGCTGTAGCTAATTTTTTTCTTGTTTTGCAGCTGAGCGACTCTGACAAGACCAAGATGGAAGAAGCCATTGAAGAGAAGATCAAGTGGTTGGATGAGAACCAGGACACTGAAACTGAAGCCTACAGGAAACAGAAGAAGGAGCTTGAAGAGGTTGTCCAGCCCATCATTGCCAAGCTGTACCAAGGAGCCGGTGGCGCCGGAGCCCCTCCACCAAGCACCTCAGACGATGATGAACTCAAGGATGAACTCTAAAGACTGTTGACATTAACTTAGGAGATTAATTAATTTTCATGGACTGCCCCAAAGAAGTTCATGAGTTAAAGACAGTAACAAAGTGAAGAGCCCAGAATGTGACAAGTTCTGATTTTGTGCTGGAACTGCTGTGATTTATTTGTAAAATAGTTTGCCAGAGCACAAGGTGCTGATGCTCTATGAAGGAGGTCTTCTGCAATGCTTCCAGTAGAGCACAACGATCATCATTATCTGTTACTTTTTTAAAAAACTTAACTTCAAATTTTTACTTTGCCCAATGTCTCAATTTTAGTTTTGTCCTCATTATTTTGCTTACAACACACCAGCACCAGAGCAATCCATTTGAGTCATCTCCTTAAGAATCATTTTCATCTCTAGCTTGTTTTTCAATTTCTCGCAGTATTGATTATGGTTTGCTCTCGGGTACTTGTGTGTTGAGCTTCCAGTTCTGTGGAGCACATGCCTTACTGTTTCAGTTGGGCGATGCAAAACACCTCAGGACTGACAATACTGTGGCGTGTCCCAGTTCGTTTGACTGAACCCCTGTGATGTGTGTCTTGTGTCATTTTTCATTCCGAATTTCTGCTGCATTATTTATTAACTCAGATGCCAAAGTCTGATGTTATCTGTTAGTACAAGCAATTTATGTATGAATTTATGTGTGAATTCCTTTAATAAATTAGTGTTATGTCTCGAGTCGTGCTATGAGTATTTATTCGAACTGAAAGTTGGTGTAGTTGGCATTGTACTTATTATATAAGTACATGTCACATTAAGATCAATGTAAGCAGCATTATATTGGATTTGTTTGATTCAGTATGAAAGGGATAGTAGTCTGACCAAACTGTTCAATGTTCTCTGTGAGTAGTATACATATATATATGTCTCCTTTATATCCTGTATATATCTGATATATGTATATATGTATGAATAAAAACATTTTTTACACAACTTGTATTTTTGTGACCACCTCTCCACACCAACAGGCCAAATAATTTGGGCGATCCACAAGATGAAAACAGAACACTAACATGAAGCTCAGCCATGGTTTCACCATTGACAGGCCCAGCTGAATTTGTCTTCAGTGTTACATAGCGCTGGGAGGGTAGAGCACCCTTTTGGCACGCCGCAGGGAAGGCGAGTAATACCTGGCCCTTTATCGCCGTGACCACTTCCTCTGCGCTATGTGACGTTTTTCACACATTTCCAGACAGGTTCGACCCATAAGGCCTCGCCCTGAGCTGGTTATGGGCGCCGAAAGGCGAGTGGGTGCCAAATGGGTGGCCTACCCTCGAGGCGCTGGCCCCTATAAGCTCCTGAGTGATCTCTTCTAGGTGGTGGAATTGCAAGTTTTTTTAAAAATCTGATTTTGATGATTTTTAGGATATGTTTGTGTTATATTCTGGTCCCATAGCTCGTCCAACTAGCAAACAAACTATAATAGGCCAGCAAAAAGCAATTTCTGCATTAGAAAAAAATCTTTGTATTTGCATCAGTTTGATTGGGAGGAGAAACGCAGAATAAAAAACCTTGTGTCTTTGTTCAACCACAATTTTTTTTTTCAAAATATCTATCTTTCTTAGCACAACAATACATATAAATTTTACTGACAATAACTGTACATTAATCAATCTAGTTTCATTAAATAAAGGACAAAATTTCAAACGGCATTATTGTCAAAGCAGTCAAATCATTCTCACGGAGATAGTTGAAGTTCAATAAAATTTACAAGTTTCATTCCAATCACTTAAATTTTTACATTAAAGAAATAAAACATAAAAACACAGCTCAGTACTCACCAAATAAAATACTTACACAAGTCACAGTCATAACTTAAAAAAGGAGAGCCAAATTGGCTCTTTCACATTACTTAAATTATTAAAGTAATTGTACTATAATTTCATTCCATAACAAGACAGGCTCATGATTACAGAGTATATACAACGGAATATGATGAGCATGTATCACAGCGAGCAGGCTTTCAACAGATGCAGATCTCAAAGGAAATTCTGCACACCTGCAAAAGTATGAGATGCGTGTTTCTCCAACACAATTTTCCCCACCACTACAGTTTGCATAAAATCTATTCACAAAACGCAATTGACAAACACAAAGAAGTACAAACTACTGAGATGCTTTTAGTTGTCAGACTTATCTCAACAAGGGTTCAGTACAGGGTGGGAGTCACTACTGAATCATCTGGAAGTAGCGATTCTCCTCGAGGAGCGACGTGAGCGAGGAGGTCATGTCGTTGATCACCATGTTGGACTGTGGCGGGGCGGGGGCGGGAGGCGCGGGGGCGACCGCGGGGGCGGCAGGTCCGGCCTGCTTGGGGGGGTGCGTGCTGCTGGTGACGGGCTCACTGCTGCCCGCCGCCCCGGCCGCCGTCACCGCGGCGCCCGCCGCGCCCGCCGCGCCCGTCCCTCGGTCCGCCCAGTTCTGGCACTGCTGGACGTACTCCAGGGTGCGCTGGTAGGTGTCCTGCCGCATGCCCAGGGGCCGCGGCACCGCGCCCTGCGCCGCCTGCGCGAGCTGGCCGGGGTTGGCAGCGGTTGCAACGGCCGCGGCACCGACGGCCGCACCCGGCGCCGTACCTGCAGCAGGGCCTGCAGCGGGGACTGCAGCAGCACTGGCCGCAGCGCCCGCGGCAGCCCCGGCCGCCTTTTGCCGCGCCGTCGACTGGCTGATGTCCTGGCACTGGATCTCCGTCTGCGTCGGCGCCGCTGGGGAGCCGTGCGGCCCACCGTGAGGGCCTGCATGAGGTCCTCCGTGTGGCGTGTGGGGCGCGACGCCGCACGCGCACGCGCCGCCGCACGCATGCACAGGCTGGGGCGGCTGGTGGTACTGCAGGGGCGGCGCAGGCTGCGATTGGTGGTGACTGCAGCCGCAGCTCGCGCCGTGGTTGTGGTGGTGGTTGTGGTAGGCCTGGTTGGCGTAGGCCTGGCTGTTGGTGCCGCAGGCCTGGCCGCACATCTGCTGCTGCTGCATGTGCGGCATGGGCTGCTGCGGGGGCGCCGTGCTGCAGTAGTAGCCCTGCGGCGCGGGCGCGGGCGCCACTGGAAGGACCTGGCTGCTGCACGGCGAGTGCGTGTGCGGCTGCGTGTTGCCGTTGCACGGCGCGTAGCACGTGTTGCTGGCCGCGCTGCTGGACCGCGCCGTCATGGACTGCAGGCCTTGCTGCGGCAGGGCGAAGGGCGGCGCCGGCGTGCCCGCTGCGGGGCTCGTCATGGGCTGCTGGCTGAGCGGCGGGCCGTGCGGGCCGTGGGGCCCATGAGGACCATGCGGACCGTGCGGCTCCGACACGTACTGGCCGCACATGTTGACGCGGCCTGGCGCGGGCGGCGGCTGGTGGTGGTGGTGATGGTGGTGGTGGTACTGCTGGTAGTTATCCTGCTGGACAGGCCGGGCGGGGCTGCGCGGCATGTAGCCTTGGCAGGGCTGAGGCTGAGGCTGAGGCTGGGGCTGGGGCTGGGGACTCGGCTGGCAGTGCATGCTGTGGCAGTGCGACATGGGGCTGGGCACGGACGCGCACGACATGGGGCTGGCCACGGGCTGCGGGTGCGGCAGCGGGCTGGGCTGGTTGTGGGGGCTGGGCAGGGCGTGCGGCACGGGCGGCACGGGTGCGTGGCTCGGACATTGGCACTGGCCCTGGCACGGCGTCGACGGGCCGCCGCACACCGTGGTGGCGGTGGGCATGCCCGGGCTGGGCATGCTCCTGGCGTAGCCGTGCGCCATGGGGTGGCCGTGGCCCTGGTGGGCTTGGTGGCCGTAGGCGGGCCGCTGAGGGTGCTGTGCCGCCTGGTGGTGGTGGGCGGCGGGATGCGCGTTGTAGCTGCAGCTCGATTGCTGCGCCGCGTCCTCGTTCTTGAAGCCCGGGACGTCCGCGACCTGCAAACGAAGCCACCGTCAGTCACATGATTCACACAGCCTGATGTAACGGGGCCGAGAGCTACGCGCAGCATCGGCATTTTTGGCGTCAGCCTTTGTACTGACCTGGTTGAGGTACTGCAGCATCTCGTCGGGGATGACGAGCTTGCTCTCCAGCATCTCGCCCTCGCCAACCTCCTCCAGGGCCACCTCCTGGTTGGGGTGCAGCTCCTGCTTGAGGGCGGTGCCGGGGCCGAGGCCGGGCCCGAGGGGCATGGGCAGGCACAGGGTGCTGTGGGGCCGCGGCGGCTGCTGCTGGTGCTCGGCGGCCAGGCCCACCCGGCAGGGCTCCGACATGCGGCGGCCGTCGCCGTGGGTGCTGGCGGTGCCGGGGCACACGGGTGTCGCCGCGGAGGGGATGGGGCTCCACGCCATGGCGGCGGCACTCTGCTGCAGCGACATATTCTGCGTCTGAGGAGAAACGACATGAACGTTAAAATCGGACTCGTGGACCGGGTTGAAAACGTCTGAACACTGTCAGGGTCTGCGCCCCTTACCTGCAGCACGAGGTTGGAGGTGGAGTAGAGATCGTGGCGCTGGTTGTGCTGCCCCGGCGCCGAGGCGTGGCTGTGGTTGGGCCCCAGGCTGTGCCTGAGGGTGGACGTGGAGGCCGAGACGCACGCCGCGCTCTGCTGCGACGAGCGGCGGGAGCTCCCCGCTGAGATCGGGTCGTAGAGCGAGCCTGGCGTGGCCAGGAGCCTGGGGTGGTGCGAGGAGACGGCGGACACCTGCAAGGGGACGCACCGTTAGACTTGTTGGCGGACACGCCGACACTCGGGAAGAGGCAGAAAGAGGACTCACCCCGCTGCTTCGACGGCTGGAGCCCAGGTCCGCGCTGCGCATGCTGCCGTAGTACGTGCTGACAGTGGAGTTGGAGTCCCTGCGGATGTCGGGGACCGTGGTGGTGCCGGTGGTGGTGCCCGGGGGCGCCAGCCTGGCGTGCAGGTCCATGATGTTCTGGCTGCCCGTCGTGCCCGTCGTGCCGCTCTCCACCTTGAGGTCGCTGATTCTCCGGTTGATCTCCCCGATGCCGATGTTGCCGGCGTTGCCCCCGAGGCCGTGGCCACCGAGGCCGTGACCGCCGTGGTGCCTGGGGGAGGCCAGCCCCTTGGCCTGGAGCCGCGACTTGAAGCGGTTCCGACTGTTGCGGTCGACGGACACCTCGGCCACGCCGTCGCCGGCGCCGAGGCCCACGGCCTGCCGAAGCGCAACAGGTAGGTCCGGGAGCTGCGGACGGAAAGGGTTGGTTAGGACCTTCGGAAGACTAACGGAGTGGAATACCTCGCAGTGAGAGAGGCAGCCTTACCTCCATCTCCTCGCCCTCCCACTCGTCCGGCTCGGCCAGCGCCAGGGCGGCGGGGTTGTTGGCGCCGTTGTTGATGTTGGCCGTGGAGGTGGACACGTTGCAGTCGCTGAGCGGCTCGCCGCCGTGCTGCTGGCCCAGCGGGCTGCCCTGCTGCCCCGGCGAGTTGGCCTCCTCGGACTTGACGCTCGGGCTCGACATGGACGCCGTCTTGCCGCTCAGCAGATCCTCGGACCGGCTGGGGCTGAGCGCGCCCATGCCTCCAAGACCGTCGTCGCCACCCAGGCCGTCACCGCCCAAGTCACCTTTGTGCTTCTTGTTGGCGTAAAACTCGTGGCCGTGGACGGTCTTGACGTGCTTGCGCAGCGAGCTGGGGTCCGTGTACCGCTTGGTGCAGCCCGGCGCCTTGCAGATGTAAGGTTTCTGTACGGACAGAGGACGAGGTTGCGTTAGCGTTTGCGACAAGTCGGGGTGTCATGACATCAGCGACTGCAGCGAGTGGGAGACAGAAGATAGCAGCAAGATTGGGGATTCGAACCCGGAGGCAGCGCTTGTAGGGGATGGCGGCTACAGGGTGTCTTACCTAGCGGTCCATCCCTTGAATACGCTTGCATCCAGGAAGAGAAGAAGTGTTAGGAAGAGACGAAGGTAGAAGGAGATATGGGGCGTGCCCCAGAGAACAGAAATCTATCTTTGTCTTACCTCATTTGAATGGGTTCTATTTTGATGTTTGGCTCGATCCGAAGCATTGCTGAAAGCTTTGCTGCAGCCGGGGTACTCGCACATGTATGGCTTTTCCCCTGTATGTGATCTCAAGTGGGTCTTGAGATTTTCTAACCTGGAGTACGCCTTGTAACAACCCTCGAACTGCAATAGAGAAATCACGAATGAACAAGTGTCACTTGCAATGATGATGGTAAAGAACCAAACTGGGACTAATCTGTTCAAAATAATCTGAATCGACCCTTAGGCCTCACCGTGCATTTATGTGGCTTTTCTCCCGTGTGTCTTCTCATGTGCACGACGAGCATGTACTGCGCCTTGAAGGGCTTCTCCTCCCTCGTGCACTTTTCCCACCGGCAGACGAAGGACTTTTTGTTGGCATGAATGTGATCACTATTGATGTGCTGTGAACAGACAAAATCTCCCGTCAACACCTGCGGACAACTGAGGACACGGAGTGATCCAAGCCGGGCAGGGCGGTGCGCTCTACCTTGACGAGCTCGTCCTGGTGCGGGAACTCGCCGGCCGCACACTCCCTCCAGCGGCAGTGCGTCTCCACGAAGTCGTCGGCGGGCTCGTCGTTGCAGTCCGCGCCGCCGGGCGAGGGGTGGTTCTTCTCCTGCTGGTAGGTGAGCGCCGAGCCCGCGCCGCCTCCCCCCGTGCCGGGCTCCCGCTTGATGCGGTGGGCCTTGCGCGGCGTCGAACCCGAGGCGCTCGTGTCGGCCTCGGCGGTGACGCTGCCCGCCACTGGCGGCGACTCCAGCTTCATGTCCAGCTGCAGCTGCATGTCCGCCTTGTGGGCGGCCAGGTGCGCGGCCAGGGGGTGCGGCGGCAGGGAGAAGGGGCTGGCGGGGTGCAGGCCTTGCAGCGGCGGCAGCAGGGGCTGGAAGCGGCCCGAGCTGGCCCGCAGCAGGTGCTCCTGCAGCTGCTGCAGGTGGGGCGCCATGCCGGGGTGCATGGACAGGGCGGGACTGATGGCACCTGCGGAGCAAACAGAGTCAGTACGGAGCGCCCGCGCGGTAGGCAACCCAACGCACGCCGACCCGGCGCGAGGGGAGCGCCCGAAGGGTAGGCAACCCATCGCACGGGCCAGCCTCGCGCCGAGTGGCCGAGGGGAGGGCCTTCTTGGCCTGCCATCTTACTGCATCTTACCGGCTGAAAGGTGGCCGTACGAGCCGCTAGCGGACGACGACCGCGATCCATGGGCGATGGAGACGAGGGAGTTGGGGGAGAAGCGGATCATGGAGTTGATGTCGAACGAGTCCGAGTACGGCGACGACGACAGCGCCCTCTTGCGGCTCTGCCGTAGACTGCCGGGCCGCGGACTGGCCAGTCGAGACCCTGGAACAGCAGAGGAAGGCAAAATTTCAAATGGATGTCCGTTCGCGTGTTGCAACTGTGTAGAACTGCCGCGTCTTGCTTCCGAAGCACCGAAGCCGAAGCCGGCCGCCCAATCGCCAATCGGCCAGGTGAGGGAGGCCGAGCGTGAAGGGCTGGCGGCGCTGGCGGCGCGCAGCCAAAGGACTCTCAGGCCAAAGCGCAGACAAGGAAGCGCCGGCGAACAATAACCTGAAGCCTGAAGCCTGAAGCGCGCCGAGGTGCGCCGAGCAGAGCGGCAGGCCGTCAGGACGTCGCCACCGGACTGCGTGGCCGAGCATCCCCCCCCCCCCCTTCTCTCTCTCTCCCTCTCTCTCGCCCTAATTGCCCGCTTGGCTGATTGTCTCGCATCGTATTAGTCCATCGCGTTAGTTCCGCCTCACGGGATTTGCAAAACCGCATCACAGAACACCACAGATCAAGCCGTAGCCGTGCCCTGTATGCCGGCGGCAAGCAGCCCCCCCCCAAAAAAAAACAACAAAAAACAACAACAAAAAACGCTGATTTTAGGGCTCTAGATAGCCGCCTGAAAGGTGGGCAAAAAGCCATACTTTGCACCTGTAAGTACGGTAGGCAAGATGCCACCCCCCGAAAAGGCCGCCCCTGGATCCGCCACTGCCGCCGGGAGTGACGCGTTCTCGCTATCGAAGCCCTTCTAGGAACACGTTCAACGACTTCTATCAGACGGCGGCAAAAGTCGGCCCGCGTCAGAGCGGCAGCCTCCCTCTCCCAGTGCTGGAAGGCCGAAGGTGGAAATGTTCCTGGAAACATTTTTCGGGCCGAAATACGAGACGCGTCCGAACGCGTCGCAGCACTGTGTCGCAGCGGGGCATCCAGGGACGGGCCAACGGCGGGCAGCGGGCACGTCGCCCGCAGCCCTGCCTAGGTTTAGTGCGCGTCCCTTGCACCTTCTCGGAAAGGCAGGGCGGGGCGGGGAGGGGCGGGGAGGGGCGGCGGCCAGGCTGTCCACCGGCCTTTTTCTTATTCTGGCCTTTTCGTCCCCAGTGGCACAAACTGGCCACCCCCACCCCACCCCCTCCCCCGCACCGCTCTGCCTGTGCTCTGCGGGGAGGAGGCACTCACCTCTGTGGCTTGACATGTGCTTACTCAGTGAACATTGTGCAATTACGTTTTGGACTTTATTACACCTATTCCACCTATTGGATTCAAAACAAATTGTAAATAGAGTTGACTGTTGAAAGGAAAACCTCCCACACGAATAAAGAACAAAGATTACTGACAAAGGGACGGATAACCCAATCGAGTACAGCCGCAAAAATATGGCGCGATATCCGTACATCCAGCATTTAAATTTCCCGCTTGTCAAAAATGCATCCGCTCGTCTCGAAATTTAAAAATGAAATAGACGACGCGGATAAAAAAAATGCTAATTGATGACAGGAAAACAAAAATTTTGCAAACGGCAACGCGCGGATAGCACCACGCCACCTTACCCGCGCCTTTACGGGAGGGACAGGAGGGACGGACAAAAAAAGTACCGTACGACGGCACCACGCATTCCTGCCGATGCTGGCGATGCACTTGTGGGGGATTACCGAGCCTAGCCGTCTCTCTGTCTCTCTCTCTGCCTCTGCCTCTCTCTGATCACGCGAATAGCCCAGCCCGCCTTTTGTCCGCACAGCGCGCACAGCCCGGCCGGCCGGGTCGGACACAGGGTCGGACCGGCTGGCCGGCAGATTTGTTGACAATCTCAACAGTGTGCAAGCGCGGTCATTGTGTGCACGTCCAGGACGTCCACGTCCGCGACGTCCCTCCTCCACGTCCGCACGTCCAACTCTACTCACCTTCGATGGAGAACGGGAACTCGGAGCTGGCCAGGGTGGACGGCGGCGGCTGCAGTGAGCCCAGGTAGTCCGGAGGAAGCCCCAGCCCTGGAACAGGGAGGACGGCGACGTCAGTACGTCGGTACACGCGCTGGTCACCGCGAGCAAGGTGCACGTGCACCGTCACAAGCAGCGAACATTAGCAGCAGGGCCAGCAGGGCCAGCACAGGGTTGCGGCTGCAGGCCTGCAGGCTCAGTGAGCCTGGACGCGCCCTGGAGCGTCCGGCGACCCCCTGCAGACCGATTCCGACTGTCGTTTTCGTCGCTGTCTCTCTCCCACCTACAGCGGGCGCTCCATGAGTGCGAGAGAGACGTGTACCGACCAAGACGGCGATCGGAATCAGCCTGCAGGACGCGAGCCGCTCGCGGCGTGGAGGCCACGACGTTCACCGGGTCCCTTTGGGGCGAAGACACGGCGAAGACGGGCAAAGGCAAAATAGACTGGAAACAATCGGACAATGAGGCCCGCGCATTGTCCGAGCACTGCCAGAGCGCTGCCGGCACGCACGCCACGCACGGCGGCGAGCGGGAGAGAAAATCGGACGCGGAAAACCAATTCAAAATGGCGGCGATTCGCCGCGCTGACGACTGCAGAGGTAATATTTGCAAAGTGTCGTGGAAACATGCTAATTTTGCGCGCGCCGACGGGGAGGTGTCCCTCGCGCTCGTCGGCAGCACTACACCATCAGGGGTGCATCGCATGGGTGCATCGCACCGCAGTCAACGCACGGCAATCATGCACTGAGATGCATTCCGATGCAGCAATGCACCCGACCGTCCTGTGATTTCTCGCAGACGTTCGCCGATGCAAGAAAACGGCACCCAATCGACAAATGCATCCACACTGCGGCTGTCGAAAAATCCAGCAGCAGTTTTGCCAACGCAGCGGCCTCCCTCGTCACTTCGCGCAGCCTCCGGGTGGCGCACTGCACGCCGCCTTGCCGCCAGCAGGGCGGAGATACACTTCGGCATTTCCAAACTCAATCCTTCAGAAAGTCCTTTCGGCATAATTCACTCGCGGGGAATCCACTTATAGTTTCCGGCGGTTGGTACTCCTCTCTGGCGGCGCCGGTTCGAAGTTATCTGTCCTGGGAGCGCTCCGAGCGGCGCTCTGCGCATTCCCGAAGCACTTCTAGGCGCCACACTCACAAGCTCACACTTGCAGACACACAAACACGCGCACACACTGCGGGGGGTTCGCCCCGGCTGGCCCGGATATCCACTGGGGGCACTCACAGAAGGGTGGCAGGGGCTGGTATCCAGGCGGGTGGCAGTACTCCATGGGCCGCGGCCCCAGTGCACTGGCTCCCCACATGACCCGCGGTTCGATCATGTCACTCTGGGGCACACGCACACACGCACACACACGCACGCACGCATCGGCTCAGGGGCCGGCCAGCACGGGTACGGAACGTTACGGCACGACCACAGCGCGGCGCACACCTTCCTCGCGCGGGGGCTCAGCTAGCACTGACGAACGAGACGAAAACGAAGAAGGAGAGGAGGAGGAGGATGAGACCGGAGCGGCGGGCGGGGGAGGGGGAGGGGGCTGGCAAGGTCGGAGCCCCGGCGCGCTACGAGCGGCGGGGCCGAAACGAGCGGCGAGCCCAACAAGAAGAAGAGGACTAGGAGGAGGAGGAGGGGGAGCAGCCGGCACGGGAGGGTCTCTAGATGGCGGAGGAGCGGAGGAAGAGCGCAGCGAGCACCGCAGCAATGCAGGGGGGCTTCGGCACGTCGGCTGGCCGGCCGGCTCGGCTCGGGCCGCGTTGGCCGCGTGGGAGGAGGGAGGCGAGGAAGCAGTGCTCTTGCTCTTGTCGCTCGCCGTGTTGTCGGCGAGGCACTCTGCAGCGCAGCGAGCAGCCCGAGCAAGACGTCGCCGGCTTTATGAGGAAAAGGCGTCCCAGCCGCCCGCCCCGCCCCGCCCCGCCCGGCACCCCGAGCAGGGTCCATGGTCCTTGGCGAGGCCTTGGCATAGTGGGGCGGGAAAAAAACGGGCATTCCTTTCAGTGCGACTTGGACGCAGGCACCGCCGGGGGTGGCCGGGGGGTGCGGGGCGACCAAACTGCACCAAGGCGAACTAAGGTGACCATGCCGCCCACAACAACGGGGTCCATTCACCTGGCCAGGCCTGGCCCCCACAGGCGCGGGTTGATGAGAAGGCGTCAGACGCCGGGCCGCGCAACACCACCGGAAGGATGGAGGCCGGCAGTGCGAAGAAGAAGAAGGAGAAGAAGAATTTGGGTGGGACTTGTCCGCAGGGGGCCGTCCGGCCTGTCCAGCCCACCGCGAGCACCGCCCGGCGGTAGCAGTGTGTGGTGCTTCCGTGCGAGTGTGTGTGTGTGTGCTCCACACGTTTCCAAAAAAGGGCGAGTGGCCAGGACAGCCAGGACGCGAGGGTCATTCGGAGACGCCATGCTACGCCATGCGCGCGGCGCGGCAGTATAACGACAACGGCAGCAGCAGCGTTCTCGGCAGAGCAAGAGAAGAAATAAGAAAAATAAAGAACGGGGGGAAAAGAAAAGAAAAACAAGGAAAATCGCTGGAATCGCATCGCAAGGCAACGAGTGCAGTCCGGAGAAGAGAAGAAAAGAGACATCGGCCTCGGATGCAAGTCACTGTTTGGGTTTACAACGACGGGGCCGCCTCCTCCTCCCCTCCCGCTCCAGCACCGCTCCAGCGCGCGCGTGTATGTGTGTGTGTGTGTGCGTGCGTGTGTGTGCATGCTCTCACGACGGGCGAGGCTTTAATTAAGGCGAACATTTCGTTTTTATTTACTGAAACGTCGGATTGATAAATCATACATCGACGTGGTGGCTCGCGGTGGGCGTGGCGGGGCGTGGCGGGGCGTGGCGGGGTGCGGTGTGGGTGAAGTGTGGCGTTCCAGCGAGCCGTTCCAGGGTTCCAGGCGTGCAGACGCAGGGGATGGCCGGCCGTGCCAGCCGCCCGGAGTGGCGCTGAAACGCTTTCTGGAGTGATTCCAGGTCCGCCGGAATCTGCAGGCGGTGGCCATCTTCCCGCATCGAGTTGCTGCAGCCCTTGCAGCCCTTCCCGTCCCTCCAGGCTGCAGGGCCTGCAGGATGAATGGGGAGGAAGGCGCACGCAACGACGAGGGCCGGAGCATGGAGGAGAGAGAGGGAGAGAGGGCCGCGGACGCGGCGGGCGCGAAGAAGTGGAGGGGAGGTGGTGCAGCGGCTGCAGCGGCGGGCGGTTGGGCGGCGAGGCAGCGCGGACAGCGTGAAAAAGGAAGAAAGGCGGAGAAGATAAGCGGGAAGAGGAGGAGGAGGAGGACAACACGAATTAAGAAATCAAGCATCGTTGGCTCTGTTCCTTCGGTTCCTTTCGGTCCGCCCGGCCACGGTGCCACGGTAATCAGCCAGTCAGGTGTTATAGTTAGTGCCTCAGCCTCGGCCTCAGCCTCCCCGGTCCGGCGGGCTGGCGGCTGGCGGGCCAGAGGGCCAGAGGGCTCCACCCAGACAGGGGCGTAGCTAAGCGCGGTGCTTCCGCCCCAAGACGAGCTCTCCGTGTTCCGGCGTGGGGTCGACGGCCCGCCCTGCCCTGGCCACCCTGGCCCTGCCCTGGCCCTGCCCTGGCCCTGCCCTGGCCCTGCCGGCCGGCGGTATCACGCTTACTACAGTTGGTAAGTGCGACGCTAGTGCGACGCCCGCGTTCAAGTCCCCGGACCCTTTCCGGGCCTCGGCCCCTCGTCCGCCATTTCGCTCTTGGCCGGCCTGGCGTGCCTGGCGTGCCCGGCGCTGGCCGCGCCGTGTTCTCGAAACAAGGCGACCCGGCGGAGGCTGTCGAGCCGATTCGCACCTGGACTGCCAGCGATAAGGTCCTTAATGAGATAATTAGTTAACCGCGCCGCGCCGGCAGCAGCGGGGCCGTCGAACCTGATCCGCGCGACAAGATCACGTGGCCGTCGGGCTAGACGTCGCCGTGAGGACCAAATCAACACGCATCCTCGCAGCGTGCTGCCTTTTGTTCGACGGAGAAAGTGTCCTTGAGTGATTGCGAGTCAAGGAGCCGGCACGGCACGGCGCGGCGCGGTGGCCTCCAAGGACCACCGCAAGGACGCGGGCAGGCTTTACTCGTTCGTGGGGGGCACTGCAGGCACTGCACTGCCGGCACGGCCGCCACGGCCTGTGGTATGCGTTCCCCGCGGGTACCGGGTACTTCCTCGGGAACTCCCGGGTGCCGGTAATTGGTATGTTGAGATGAAACGCCCCAATCCGGCTGCGCCGTGGCTGCGCCCTCTCCAGCGGGGCTGCTCCAGGGAGTCCAGAGCCTCCAGGGCCTCCAGGTGGGGCCCGCCGCCATGCCCGCCTCCTCCAGGCTGCAGCCACGGTCCAGGGAGAAAGGCGCGGTGGGGAGCGGCCAACAATCGTCCTGCTAACACCACGCTCATTTCCTCCACTACTCGGCCCCTTTGTGGCGGCAGCCGCCTCGTCCGACACGTTGTCCGGGACGCACTGCGGGACGGGCGTAGCGGCGTGGGGCGTGGCGGCGTACGGGGGCGCGGGTAACTTGAGCCACCTCGCCGTAATACTTCAGCCTACAGCCGCCCGACGGCGTCTTGGTGGAGTCCTGACCAACCCGCCAACCGGCCGGCCGATGACGCCATGCAACATCGCGAACTCATTGGCACGGGACGGGGTCAGGCGCCGAACAAAAACACGGGCTTTTTGTTGTTACACACGGGGCGTGCTTTTTTTGGCAAAGGTGATGACGATGATGGCGACGTGTGTACCTGCGAAGCAGCAGTCGGAAGGGGAGGAGTTGGCCTAACAGCGATCCGGGTACCCGAGGGGCCGAGGGTCCGGGATCGTTCCTTTCGGAGGAAATTGAGAAATTACAGCGCGCGAGTGGCGGTGTGCCGGCAGAGCGTGGCAGAGCGGTGCACAGCCGCCGGTGTGTGTGTAGGAATGACTGAAGGAGACGTCGCCGTCTGGTTGGTCCAGTCCGTGCGTGTGTGTGTGTGTGCGTGCGAGCGCGTTTGCGTGTGCGTGCAGACCCGCGACCGCACGGTCGTTACCCCAAAGGTGCACCTGATTTATAAGACTTGTCGCTTGGCAGCTGTTATGACGACGACGCGGAGCCGCCCTTCCAGCCGCAGTCTGCACACGCACACGGCCAAGCACACTGCCAAGCACGGCCAAGCACACGGACAGACACAAGAGCGCGCACGGGGGCCATTCATCGCGGCATGGCGCGGTCTAACCATTTTACGATAGAAACCTCGCCCCCTCCACTTTCTGGAAAGATGATGGCGCGCCGTCACGCCGCGGACATCCTTCCTTCTAATGCCCTTCGAGGCCCTCTACTGGGCGGGGCGGGGCGGGGCGGCACCGGTCCTGCTGGGCCCCGGGCCCTTCTCGGCCCTCCCCGGGACACGCTCGATCAGGCCGCGGAGATACGGGCCCCGAGAAATGAGAGGCACAAAACAGCTTTATCAATACCATTCCGGGATTCCAGGTCCAGGACGTCGTTGTCTCCGTCTCGTTCCTCTCCAGCCTCCTCCCTGACTGGATGACTGAATAGCCGAATCCCTGAATCCACAATCCACCCGCAGGGCATGCACTTACAGTGTGCGATCCGCAGCGCAAACACTGCAGTGCTCCATCGGCGGATAGGCAAACAAACTCGACGCGAACTTCTCGGGGATGAATGAGTCCCGAGCTGCAGTGTGGGGCTGCAGTGTGGGCAGTGTGGGGCTGCAGGACGCGGAGACGCGCAGGATGCCGGAGGGAGATACCGGAGGCGGTAAATGAGACTCGCCCCGACGTCTCATCTCGTGCGCCCCGAAAATAATATTAATAATAACAACAACAACAAGGATGAAAAAGAAACGAAACTGGGAGAAGGCAGTGTGGGCCCCGCGGTGGCCCCGCGCGGTGGGGCCGCGGAGCCGTGGGCGGCAGCGAGTGGCCCCAAAGGGGGTCCTCGGGGCTGTCTGGCTGTCTCGGCTCAGGTGTGGCTGCCACCGCCGCGGGTTGCCTGCCGCGCCCGAAGAAGTGCCTCACGCCTTTGTGCCTGCCGTCCAAATTCAACAAGTTTTTGGTCAGGAAAGAGGAAACTGCACAAAAACTGAAACGGCCGAAACCCGGATTTGGTTGTGCGCAACGCAGAAAGTAGCAAATGCAAATGCAGACAACGATATTCTTCCAGCCGCCGCAGTCCGGGTTCACGCTCATCATTTTTCGCCTTCACAAACCGGGCCGTTATAGCCGGTCCGAAAGAATCGTCCGAAGATGACAGGGGGTCCGTGTGGGGCCGCGCGCCGCCGCGCCGCGCACGCATGCGGCCTGAGCCCCCCAGGTATTAATAAACGAAAAAGAAGTCATCAAAGTCCAGATTATCGATCGAGGCAATGAAATAATTCGATGCCGGAATCAAACGAGAAATCTGTTATGAGGCGGTGATCGAGGTGCCGAGCCAGCAGCGTGTGTGTGTGTGTGTGTGTGTGAGAGAGAGAGAGAGAGAGAGAGAGAGAGAGAGAGGGGGTGTGTGTGTGTGTGTGTGTGTGACTGTCTGCGTTCTCCTTCACGCACGAGCTTGTTCTTTAGAAAATGTCTCGCGCAAAGAAAGTCTATATTCCGGACGAATTTCTTCCCGGGACGTCACTCACACACACGCACACAACCACACAACCGAGAGAAAACCACCGCAACAGACGTTTTTCTTGAAGGGCGGAACAATTTCTGTTTGATCCTTTTTTCCCAGCAGTCGTGTTCACAGAACACGGAAAAGGATGAATGTATATTGATGTGGTTTTTCTGTGAGAATAAGAGATTATAGTTACGTGGGGCCTGCAGTCCAGGGGGCCCCCTGATTACTTCCCAGTGCCCCCCACGGACGCAGCGCCCCGCCCCGCCCCGCCACGGCCCCCACGGGCACAACATGACCGCTACACTGTCTGTCGTGATGAAGCAGGTCGCCGGGTAATCAAATCAGAAAACAAGCGTGGCAAATCGCCGGCCCCACCGAGATTCGAACCCCGAACCCCAATACATGAAATGAAAAATGCTCTCCTATAGAAATGGAACTCTTTTCTCCTCCCTGCCGCCCCATTAATGCGCATGTTTCTATTTTTATTGTGCTTTTTTTCCAGCCGGCGTGGCGTCCTGGACACGTGTGCGCCGAGGGGCACATCGCACACATGGAAGCCTCAACCTGACTCGTCCTTTTTTATCCGTGTATGTCTGTCTGCCTGTCTGTCTGCCTGTCCGTCCGTCCGTCCGTCGGTGTGCCCGTCATTCCTGACCCGTTCCGCGAGGTCTTTGGCACGTGATCGGCGTGTCGCGACCGCAGCCACAATCACCGCCACTATTGTTGCAAACAGTCCGAGATGGATGGATGGATAGATGGATGGACGGTTGACAGCGCGGCTCGCGGCCCTCGCGGCATGGCGGCGCGGCGACCTGCGATCCGGAATGCAGCACCGAAAACCGCAACAGTTACTTCTTTTACGTCCTCGCCGTCCTCGTCGTCCTCGTCGTGGTGCTCGTCGTCGACTGCTCCGGACAGCCGCCGAAGGACGACGAGGGGATAGCGCGGCGTGCCCCCGATAGGGCCTAAAGCGAAGTGTGTGTGCGCGTGCGTGTGTGTGTGTGTGAGTGAGCCAAGGCGTGGGCCGCTCTAAACAAAACACGGGGCCCAATAACATGGCGGCCGCTGTCCCCACAATGGCCGCGCTGACCGCGCACAGCGCCGCGCCAACGGCCCTCATGACTCACTCACTTACGACCGGCCCCCGGCTCCAGCCCGCCCCGCCGCCGTACTCGCTTACGGCCGGCCCCCGGCTGCGTGGTGCTGCGTGTCGCGGCCAGGCGCGTCACTTAGGACCCAATTACCATAAATTGCCGGTAAATAACGTCTTTATTAGAGGGCCGCGCACGGCACCACGGCACCACCAGGGCTCGGCCCTCGGCCACGCGTCGGGGGTGCCGGACCGGGGCGACTGGAACCTGGCGTCCGGGGGCCGTCGAGGAATGAGCTGGGACGCAGAGGGCATCCCCAACGAGGCCAACGAGGCCGCAGCCTGCCCTCCACGGGACGAGACTCAGCTTGACGCGTCATCTTGACGTGATCAGGATAGGATCGAGGGCGATGTCGTTTTGTCGATTAGCATTGGTGCTTCGGTTTTGTTTCCCGCCACAATTTTCAACGAGTCAAGTCCCCAGACCAAAGTGAGGAGACTACAACCGCACGAAAAAGGAAATTGGCGAGGGAGAGGAATTTATTTGGGAGCGCATCGCCGCGCAGCGCCACTGCGATGGCGGACGGTCCCCGCGGTCCCCGCAGGCCCCCGCGGCCCCGGCACGGCGACGCGCACGGCGAGGAGGCGAGGGGCAGCAGTGCTCGTTTGAGAACTGGATCTCCAGACGTATAAAGTGGTTTAGGGACTCGACTCGTTCTGTTCTCCTGGATTGGACTGCGTGTAGCTACTCGATGGAGTGTCGCGCCGGAGGAGGAGACGAGAGAGGAAGAGAAGAAGAGGATGGAGAAGAAGCGGGGCGCAAGCAGGAGGAGAAGGTGGCGCGGCGAGGGGCGGAGGAAGTATCATTTTCCGGTTGATGAGTAATTATAAACCGAAGGAGGCGCCAAGTGCCGCTCACTGCAGGCGCTGCAGGCCGTGCTGCAGGCCGTGCTGCAGGCCGTGCTGCAGGCCGTGCTGCGGGCCGTGCGGCGTGGCGTGCGCAGGAAGGGCGCAGCACGCAGCGCGACGCAGCGCGACGCAGCGCGGCGGAGGGGCTTTGTTTTCAGAGTGTCGCCGCGTCCACCGGCAGCGCGCGCAGCCAACCTGCATGGCCGCGCCATCCGAAAAAACAGTGGCGGTGGCAGATTTCATAACGTCTCAACGGGCAGCCGCACTTTCCAAATCAGTTTGGAGAGGTTTCGCACAGAGGTGCCTCGCATGGCGATGGATCGACCGGTGTCGCTAGCGGTCGCTGGCCCGAAGGTGTCCGAAGGTCCCCGAAGGCTGGCGGACGTCGTCGCGTATTCCCGACGCCTACGGCCCCCTCCACTTCCTCCACACGTGCATAGTCGTGACCGGACGGGCCGGACACGTGTCGGAAACCAGACAATTAGCAAACCGCGTGACGCCGGCGCACCGTCTCCCTCGCTCTCGGGGAGACAGAGTGACGAAATGACACTCACCGTGTAGAGAGGCTGCCGGCGAGTAGAGGTGCTCCATGTAGGGGTTGAGTCGGTAGGCGGGGTGGAAGTGCTCGACGCCCGCGGCGCCCCCGCCCCCCGCCCCCGCCACCGCGCCAGCCGCCCGCCGCGCGGCCAGCAGCTGGAGTTCCGGCAGGCTGGAGCCGGAGCCGCTCAACCTGCAACACAAGCGCCAATCAGAATCCAGCATTGCGACAAACACGCCCGATGCGATACTGCATGGTGCACAGAAAACAAAAACAAGTGCATCGCGTCAAGGCACTGTAGGGGATGGTCGTGGAGGAACTGCACAGACTCCACGCATTTCCGGCGCGCTGGCCGCCCCTCGCGCTAATGTGGCGCCCCTACTGCGCCTGGCCACTCTCGCAGGGCGCAAGCTGCAGACAGAGCGAGAAAGAGAGACAGAGAGAGAAGGTCGTTAATTTGCGGCGAGGGCCATTCCGCTCACTCCTGCTCTGGAAAATGTTGTCGCTGTCAGCGCGGCCGTTCGTCTCCCATTCGTCTGCGGCCCATTCGCGCTGCAGCCACCAGCCACCTTGCGCGCCGGAACACGAAAAACACGAAAACGCAACGAGAAACCTTTTTTCCCGGAACCTGGCGTTGGCAGCGTGGCGGCGCGGCGTGTTCGCCCATTTGCTGTTTCTTGTTGTTCCGAAACGACGCCCCCGGGGGACGGCGGGGACGGCGGGGCGGAGAGGCTGCACATCGCATCCCCCAGGAAGCAGAAGGCAGGGAGGTGTGCGGTGTGCACAGTGTGGGCACCTCGCCGACAGGCCGACAGCCCGACGGGCGGACGCGTCAACTAAAGGGTGAGAAATGGTGCGCCTGCTGGCGCCGGGCTGGCGGACTACCCCTTGCAGTGTCGCGGCCGTCGCTCATGGCTATGATCGTGGTGCTGGTGGTGATGTTGGTGGTGGTGGTGTTGGTGATGTTGGTGGTAATGATGCTGGTAGTGATGTTGGTGGTGATACTGGTGATGCTGGTGGTGTCTCATGGTAGCGCAAAACGGATCTTGTTGTTGTTGTGGTGGTGGCGCTGGCCGGAGACGCTGTGACTCAGCCACCTCAGCCCACAGGAACACGGGCAGGTCGCGGCAGGCTGCTCGAGGCTCATCTCGCCTGGATGGCCGGCAGTCGAGGCAGTGCAATGCAAATGCGATTCCCCTGCAATCCAGCAATGGCACCCCCTAGTGGCACCCCGCTGCCGTGCTGGCAGTGTGCTGGCAGCGCAGGCACTCAGCGAACCGGAGCGGTGCAACGCCGGCCAGGTCATCAGGTGATTTTCCCTGAACGCTTTCGGCTGGCTTCGGTGCAAGATCGGGGCGCGGCGTAGACGACCTCTCCCCCCTCCCCCCGCCTCCGCCCCCGCGGCAGGAGGAGGGGGCTATTTCCAACCGAAGGGACAGAGCCCCTGCGTGCGCGGCGTGCGCGGCGTGCGTCGCGGCGGCAAGGCCTGCGCCGACGGCGATCCTACGATTCACACGAGCAAGCAGACGACGCGACGCGACGCGGCACGGCGGCATTCGTACGACGAAAATCTCGGCCGCGGCGCGGAGTTGGACGGTCGGAGAGCGTCGAAGAATGAAGCGTTTTCACGGCGAATTCGTGGGCGTTCCCCCGCCGCGAGAAATCCATGCACTTGCCGCCAGTCACGCCCGAGAGCCGAGGGGGAGGGGGGAAGGGGGGAGGGGCTGGTCGTGAACGCGTTATTTCCGTCACAACACCTCTCCCTGTCATCTGCAACGCCTGGCAACGCCAGTAAAAGCGATCAAATGAATAGAACAAGCGGGAGAGAGTCAGCGGGCGCCCCCGTAATATTTCTCCTCCTCCTTCTTCTTCTTCGTCTCCTCCTCCTGCTGCTCTTCCTCCCCGCCCCTGCCGTCCGTCTTCTCGTTAGCGGGGCCCATGTGTTTGGGCAGCACGGCCGATTCCGCCCCCGATAACGGCAGACGCCCCCGACGCCCCCGTTGACACCAGCCGCCTGCCGCCTGCCCTTGCCGCCAGGCCACGCCACGCCCGGCCCCCAATGTATTCAAATCGGTCGCAACGGCACGCCCAAAAACAAGTGGGGTGAAAATAAAAGGGCGCGTTATCTTATTTTTCAAGTGGAGCGGAAAGTTATTCGGGATTGGTCATGAGAAACTGGAGCCGCAAAAGCAAGGCGAGCCAGAGCCCGCCGCCTCTGGAGGCTGCTGGAGGCTGCCTGCTGTTGCCTGCTGGTGGTGGTGCGGTGTCGGGGATGAAGGTGTTCTCGGCCTCCTCGGCGAGGTGGCGGCGTTGCCGCGCCGCAGGGGCCGCCAGGCCCTTGGCCGCCGCCAGGTAGGACGCACACCTTTTGTGTGGTGCAGGGCGGAGCGCGGCGGAGCCCCGGGCCGCGCCACACCCCGCCCCTCCCCACCCCACCCACATCGCACTGCTGGGGTGAGTCAACAAGCCGTGATATGTTTATTCCTTAATCACCAGCCCTCCCTCTGCCCGTCGGATTTAATAACTCTATTATCCGGCAGCCTCCATACAGTGAGGTACCCGTCGGGCGGGCAGGCACTGGCAGGCACTGGCAGGCAGGCTCGAGGGCCCCGCCACCGCGCCAGCGAGGGCGTAACTTTACAGATTAAGTTGTTGCCGTTCACGCAACTCACCCTCGCTCCCCCGCCGCCACCGCCCCCGACCAAGAGGTAGCCGAACCAATCGCAGCACCCAAAAGGACCGAAAAACTTGCCTTTCTTTCCATTCTGCGCGGTGCCATCCGCCACCACCACCACCAGCTCACACGCACAAGTCGCAGACAAAATCGTAAAATTTAACGGTCTCGAAAAAAGACGTTCCTGAAAGGAGGACACACTTTTCTGTGGCGCCGAGCGCGATTTACGATCTTGAAGTGGGCCCGGCCCGGCGCGGCCCGGCCAGCGCCAGCCCAGCGCCAGGGGGTTGCTTCCGAAGACTGCTTTCGTCGCTCTGTCTCTCTCGCACCCGTGGGGCGTCCCGAGAGAGTGCGAGAGAGACAGAGCGACGAATGAGCCGGCAAGGCGGGCCGAGGCGGGCCGAGGCAGGCCCACCAGACGGCGGAGGACGGCCGGGCGGCAAACGCATCCCGGGCAGGTGTCGCAATAAACGTAAACAGCATCGGGGCACCGCGGCGCTGCGGCACGCTGCGGCGCTCGCAGGGGCCGTCGCCAAACGGGGTGCAGTCGCTAAACGCCGAAACCGTGGAGCCGAACCTCGAGCCGAACCTCGAGCCGAACCGAGCGGCGCGGCAGGGCCTTCCTGGAAGCCTTCATGACCGAGTGCACACGACACGGACGGAGGCGGTGCTCGCTCGCCGACCCGGCCACCTGTTGACGCTCCAGCACCGCTCCAGCACCGCTCGGCCGGGCTCCAGACTCCAGCGGTGCAGTACCGTGCGGGTGACATATGATCCTGCGTCACCATGAAAGTCGCGCTGCAGAGCGGCCTGGCTGAGGGCCTGCACTGCGGAGAGACGAGCGGCGGCCTGCACAGTTTCTGCACACCCCCCGCGGGGCAGCCCAGCCCAGCCGCCCTGCCCGGCCCTGCCCTGCTCGCCAACTGGCTGCCCGGCGCTGCCCGGCGCTCGGCCGCTCGTCGGGGGCCGTCCGGGAATTTCAGCGACCACGGACAAAGCGACGACGGACGGGGAAGAGAGTGGCCAGAGTGCGGGCAGCGCGCTGGTGTGGGCGACATCAAGATAGCGCGGGGATCCGCTGGAGGTGGCGAAGCCCTGCGTCCCGGCCCAGTTCCAGGAATGCCGCCGATCCCCCGACACCGATCCCCTTTCCCACAGGCACTCCTTCCCTCCGCGTGGCTCGCCATGGGCGAACAAATCCCGGGGGAATATTAGCCAGTGACATAAAGCAAATTCATCCTTGCAATATTGTGACGCTGTCCGGGAGCAGCGAACCCGAACAGAAAAGCAAACTGCTCCGACGGCACGGCAGTCCGGCCTGCCCTAAGCACACAATCTCCGATTATGACGTCAAGGGAGAGCGGTGGGAGGGGGAAGGGGGGCTTTATGTTGAGCGTGTGTAGGGGTGGAAGCCGCAGGTGGGCCGGCCGGTAACTGCCGCGCTGCGAGCCACACTTACAGTGCTACGGCCGCCGCCCCCCGCTCAGCCTCAGCCCGACGGGCATTCATCTCCGCATCCCTGCAGGCCTGCAGGCCGGCCGGCCCGTACCTGTGCAGGCTGCACCGGGCTGCACCAGGCTGCGCGGCCGCACAATATGTTTCAATTCAGGTGAATTATCGTCAACAATTACAGCCCCGCCGGCCTTTCAGACTCTTTCAGGCTCTTTCGGGGCCTTTCGGGCCGTGAATGCCAAGGGCGGGGCGGGGCAGGATGTGCAGCCCCTGCGTGGGGCTGCGGGGCTCCGCGGGGGGCGGCGAGGATCACAAGAAGGCCCAGCCAACGGCCAGCCAACGGCCAGCCAACGGCCAGCCAACGGCCAGCCAACGGGCGGCTGAGCCGAAGGCAAAGTCAGGGCGGCCGGGCCGGGCTGCTGTGCTGCTGCCGGAACGGAGAGATTAGACAGCAAAAGTGGTCGAGAGGAAGTGCATCGGCGGCACAGCTCGGGTCAGCAGCCAGCGCAACTCGGCCGGCGAGCGGCGGGGCGCGGCGGGGCTCGGTGTGGCGGGGCGCGGCGGGGCGCCGTGCAACAAAGTCGCGTCCGAGAGGCTCCGCGCTCGGCCGCGCCATGGAGGCCACTCATTAGACGCTCCACCGTCCCAGGGCGCCCAGGTCGACGCGCAGCGCGCAGCACGCCCCGACAGCTGTGACTTTCAACAGCCCGTCCCGCCCAAGCTGAGTCCGCCGTGTCCGCGGCCCGGCGTCGGGGCGGCCCGAGCTTTCGGCGCGCCGACGGTGGCCGCCACCCGCAGGTGCCGACGGCCGCCGACGGCGGCGCGAGACGCGGCGACGCGGTGTGCGACGCGGCGTGTGAGGCCCGCGGTGCGGCAGTTTGTCTTCGCGGAAAACCGCCGAGGAGTCGCCAGCTTGTTAATTTCTCTAACTTGTCACAACAGCTGTGTCCGCCCCACACGTCCCCCCCACCTCCTTCTCCCCCACGCGGCGTCAGCGGCCGAGAATTTCCGTCCAAATTGATCGCGCCGCACCGGCCGCCGAGAAAAGAATTCTCAATAAAGGAGG